GAGAGAGAGAGAGAACTAAACTGAGGTTTCAACACACGTGAAAGACCTGGGTCAAACCACATAGATAACCAACTTTGATCTATTAATTATTAGGCTTTCACTGGGTTAAGTCTTTTTAGTGCAGTGACTAAGAACGATATGATCTAAAGGCTCTGATATTATATGTTTGCCATACTCTGTCTTCCAAAAGTTTGAGTTTGTAATAGATGCCAATGATTTATGATAGCAAGCAATGTATTCAATTGAGATGTATTAAACTTGAGGAGATTTCCATTCTGCATCTTTCTCTGTTGATGTTCGACCTTGATTTTGACAAAGTTAAAAGCATTCTTGTGAACATCAACAAAGTGTTATATATAGATTGAACAGCAAAGTGGAAATGCATGTGTTCAGAAGTCTGCCCATATTTTGGAGAGAACACTCAGATCAGGCAATCCTTGCCATGTTTTCTATTAGATTTCTCAACTTAGCTATCATCCAACACCCAAACACCAGAAAATATGCAAAAGCATCTTCTTGGATTCATCTCATCATGTCATCCACAAGAATGTCAAAAGAAAGAACTGAACAGAGTGCAGTCTGGTTTCAGTGTTCCAAAAGTATTAAGGAGTGTGGATGTATCAAAGGAAAAGTAGATCTCCAGCTTGGTCAACACCCCAGCTCAAATTCTACAGGGATGGCAAGATCTGCCATCAGCACAGTCAAGACTCAGGAGTGTGGAAGATGAAATCTCCAAACGTGACCACAAGTTAAATAATAAAAAGCTCCTTTTTTTCTCATAAATTGTGAAGAATATAAATCAGATTATGTTTCATCTGTTGACTTTAGTTTATAGATGCAGTAATATTGATAAAAAATTTAAGAAGATATCAGAATGGAGGGTCATGTGTTCAATGATGAATTCAAAATCGCAAGTGTTGGGTTTAAGCAATATGTCAAGAATAGAAATCATATTCTGGCCTAAGGTTTGAGATTTATTGTCTCAGCCTAACTAGAGAAACTTAGGTTCTACAGCATATCAAAAACAGATGATGGATCTTACAGTATAACAGGATTTCTTTAAGAAATACTTGAGTATTGATTTGAAGCCCAAAGATTTTGATGTTGATTCATCTAAAGGAACTAATTCACTTCTAATAAGGGAACATTTGGTCGATCCACCAATGGTGTGGCCCGTAGGCTTTCGAGGTATTATCTACTTTGGGCGATGGGCGTATCCATACGATTTTACCCATTCGGAGCTCGTGAGCTTCAAAAGGCATCTCTTAGGGTAAGACCCGACGGATCTATAATATCCTTGGTTCCCCTACTCCTCACCGTACACCTTATCAACTTAAAAAAGGATTTGTCAAAATGACCGTCTTAAACACTTGTCCAAACCCTTCAATCGCAAGAACAAGCATTCCAATTGACTTCCCAAAACAATCACAATATATCTAGGGCTATCTTACATAAGTTGCAGATAATTATGGACACTCTAAACCTAAATACACAAAAGGGACAAGGATTTCCACCCAAAAAAAGGCATCTTCTTTCCGCAGATTAGGGAAAACCCATTTCCTCTGGACTCTAAAAATGTGCTAGTTTCATCTAATTTTGAATAAACAAGGGGAAAAATCAAGTAATGCTGGAGTTAGGGCCGCACCTCTCCGTATTCAAAGATTGGAGCAACTGGACCCCAAGATCGATCCATCCATCCATCCATCCATCGAAACGGGAGGGGAAGGAGCAGAATCGCGTCGGAGGCACGGCGTCGCTCTCTCGACATGAGCTGCGGAGGGGTGGAAGCGAGGAACAAGCGGTCGAGGTTCAAACGCGCTCCTCTTTTATAGACGCAACGGACGGTCGCGATGCTCTGTTGCGATCGGGTAGTGGTTGATAAGAACACGGCGTCATCGAGTCGGATCCAAAAACGGGTCCCGTAATCGAAACTTTTGGGTCCTATCAACGCACGCCAATAATTCGAATCCGATAAGCTTATCGGATCCAAAGAAAAATATTCCTAGTTTATCATGAGTGACGAACATAACGTAATATATCGATTTATGGCTTTTGTGAAGCTCGAACAATTATAACGAGGATTTAATTCTCAATGTGTAGTACTATAATCGACACCTTTCAATCACAAGTCAATCAATATTCTTAAGACAAAAAGTAAAGTAGTGGTATAACGATCGAATAAGCAACAGAGACGAGAAGACGTTCTATGGACAAAAGGGGGAGCCTTTCAACGTTTCTACAGACATGTAAGAACAAAATGATCTCTCTCATTCTCTCTCTCTCTCTCTCTCTCTCTCTCTCTGTGTCTTCCTTTGAGCTTACGGAGCTGATGGTGTCATTATAACATGATGTTTGAGTTCGTCGTGTATGATTCGAAGGAAATTGAGAGCTTCCGGACAGCTCAGGTAGACAATGATGTGGAACATCCCATATGCTTCATTTGGCGAACAAAGCCGACATCCGAATAAGAATGGAAGCTTGGAATCTGCATTTGTCTTCAAGGACGCTGGCTTTCTATCCCTTCCGGAGATGCAAATTCTTCATCATCCTCTCAGGGCTATCCCCTCCTTTTCTTGAGACACCTCTGAAGGGACGACTCACGTTTCTTTCTCTTGTTATCTGCCACCTGCCATCAAGATCGAGACCGAATATTTGCTACAACTCGAACCAAATGTGACCTGCAACTGTTCCATGTGTTCTCCCTCCGAATGTCGGGTGATATAGGTCGATTAGCGGACTTGTTAGTTTCGTCAAGATCGCGAGTATGCTCATCATCCGGCTTTACAAGGGATGGGGTAAAGGTGTGCGGAAAGGGCAGCTTGAATCTTTGTGCCCTTTTCGCCTTTGCTGCGTGAATGCATCATGGAGTCTGCGATGCATCTGGTGCGGTGCTGCTTCTTGCATGCACGATCGATGCTGTTGTTCTGTCTTCGTGAATGATCAGATGACACCAAAAGGTGGAGGTGCATGCAGAAAGATAACATTCTTAGCCCACCCACCCACCCACTCTCCTTTCTCCTTCCTTTGTCTTGTTTGTACACCCGATAATTGCATGAGAGTCTACGGTCACAAAAGCAGATTCCTCAACGATTATCGCGGCGGTGAAATGTGTCTCCTGCTTTCTGTGCGCTCTTGTCGGCCTGCTCGATACTCCGCGTTGGCCTGACATGGAGCGGAGCTCCTATAAAAGACCGCCTGAACACTGCGTTCTCATCGACCTTCGTCTGGAAAGAAGCTTCGGTCACAGAATGTCGAGGGATCCGCTAATCCTGGGCCATGTCGTGGGCGATGTGTTGGACCCGTTCGCTCGATCGGTGTCGCTCGGTGTCATGTACAAGAACAGGCTGGTCATCAATGGCAGCGAGTTCAAGCCGTCTGCTGTGGTCGACAAGCCTCTTGTTCAGGTTGGAGGAGACGACCTGCGCATCTTCTACACGCTCGTGAGTTCTTCTTCTTCTCACAGATTGCACCCCTGTTCCGCATCGAGCACGTTGGGTGAGTCCATTACCGCTCGTGGTTTTGGCAGGTGATGGTGGATCCCGACGCCCCCAACCCGAGCAACCCGACGCTCCGGGAGTACCTCCACTGGTCAACTCTCTCTCTCTCTCTCTCTGTGTGTGTGGGAGGTCGGAGAAAGAAAGGCATGTGGCTGGTATAGAGCTGACGGATCTTTAACTGATGGCTTTTGTAGGTTGGTGACGGACATCCCAGCGACCACAAACGCAAGCTTCGGTGAGTGACGTACGATGGTGAACAGTTCCCAAAAGGCTCGAGTCGCTTCTTTCTGCTACGATCGCACATGGAAGGGTTTCAACCTCGAGTAGGGGAAGGATTTGAGATGCCATTGCCACACCACACGACCATCCCATGGATCGTGTGGTGCATGTGCACGCCAACATGACATCGTTCCTCAGATTCCTCTATATGCACCCTTGTGCTTGATCTCCCTCAATTAACTGTGATGTTGGTGACACAGGAAGGGAGATCGTGTGCTACGAGTGCCCCCGGCCGGCAGCAGGGATCCACCGGGTGGTGTTCGTGCTGCTCCGCCAGATGGGAAGGGAGACGGTGTTCACGCCGGAGTTGCGCCACAACTTTAGCACAAGAAGGTTCGCCATGGAGCATTACTTGGTGCCTGTGGCCGCCACCTACTACAACTGCCAAAGGGAGGCCGGCACCGGCGGAAGAAGGTTCATAAGAGATGACCGATGCTGAGAGCAATATATATATATATATATATATATATATATATATATATATATATATATATATATATATATATATATATATACACTAGAAAAGCTGTATTAGCGTTTCAAGGCATACATCCAAGCAATCGCAGTATTATCTCTCATAACCACATATAGATTCTGACAGAAGCAAGAGTCTTTGGCACAAGCAGCACTTCCATGTTTCCAATATGTACACTTGTGGAATACCAGAACTGATAATTAAAGTAATCCACTTATAAAGTGAAGTTTAATCTGTTCAAACATTTAATTGCCACTCTCTGTACATAAAAACCAAAGATTAGGGATCAATATGCAATGCAGAACAACAAGGATCACTTTAAGAGACTAAATTTGCAGCTAAGGAATGTTTCTTGGTTCAAATCTGTATCATGTTGACTTTCTATCTTAAGGACTAGATCAGCAAGAGCAATATAGAGAACGGCTGCAGGAGGCCTCGGATGTCTGATGCCTTGGCAGGAGCACTGGAGAAGCAGGAGTTTCGTGATGTTGAACAATCCACAAATGCACCTGCAGTAGAGGAAACCCAAATGCCATGTTACAAAGAATAGACCGTTCCGAGGTTTTCGATGGAGAACAACCAGAGCAACAATGTAGTGTTGAGTATTAAACATGGCATCATCACCAACTAGAAAATTCCAATCAGAAATAGGCATAAATAATTTGGCTTTTCAGAGCATGGTATTTCCTTCTATTTTTACTTCTTCAAAGTGCATGGAATGGGAATGCAGGGAGACCAACTCAAGTATTTGCTAATTTCAGGAGTCGTGGAACCGTACAGCAACGCAAAGGAAATGAAAAAACAGATATTTTTTTGAAAATACATGATAAACATACAGTAAGAAGCAGTTCTTGTTAATCTGAAATCTCTAAAAAGAAAAGACTTTGGAAGCCAATCCAAGTTCAATGAAGAAGAATCCTCAATTTGATTCGACCTATATCAGCAACTAATCTGACTGTCTTAATTCGCAGAAGCAGGTCGATGTTAGGACAACCCATACCTTAGCTACAGCTATAGGCACCATCATCTGCACATATATCAGCCACAGTCACACATCAAACAGTGCCAGCAGCTGCACTCAATCCTGAACCAACTGATAAATAATGCACATTTCCACTAAAAGTTCTGATAACCTATTTGTTTCTCGGGACAATATATAATCGGTTAGCTTGCCTCCATCCAAGGGGAGAAAAACTCAAATACTCATTTCGCTCATTCATCTCATGATCTCAAGAGTCTTTTCAAATTAATAATTTGTTAAAAATTAAAACATACATAGGGAAAGAAATGAACTGACCTGGGTCTCCCATCCAAAACCAAATGAAGAGAGATGGCAGATGGTGGAAACCAGGAACCATCCTCTCTACAGGTCCCAACTATATAGCCATTATTCAGACATTTACAGCAGTCTGTATTACAAGACCTTTTGCTTGATCCGAAATAGCATCAGGGATCAACTTCTCCAGTGGTCTCGTCAACCCCACCTAGCAATAATTTGTAGCACGATGTTAGTTTCTACTGAAGTGATTCGCTACTATTTTGCAAAAAATAGTATGCATGATACATAATTTTAACTATATCTCATACAAGTATAAAAATCAGATTGTAATATGATAAGTCCCAAAGGGAAATAACCTCTAACATTGAACCACTGGCAGCTGGCTCATTCTTGCTCAAGGATAAGACAATAGTAAGCAAGTTCATAGCCAAAACTATCAGCAAACAACTTCACTTTCTACAAAGTCAAGTTATTTAGAGCCTGATGCTGAAACCATAAAGATACCATGCGCCGATAAAAAAAATTCAATTAGTAAATTTCATAACATTCTTGGTCTTATATCAATTATCTGTAGGTTTCCCTCTCTTTATGGATAGGAATTCAAACTCTTTCCATGTGTATGCAACTGACCTGATGTGCCATAGAAAAGTCCTATTTGGAGATTGGAGAAAACGGAAGGCAGAAAAGGAAAGAGACTGCCTTTGGCATTAACATGAACACTGAACTAAAATTACAGCAAATCTGCTGATAGAATTCCATAAAGGAAACTGGGATGCAGTGTAATCAATACAATTAATTAAATAATTTGCAGCAGTCCATTACTCTAAACTGCACGCTCTAACTTATAAAGTTACTAACAATTTGTTATGCTTCAACTTCAAAGTAACTAACAGGTTGATAAGCAGAAGCAAAAAAAAGATGAAATTTGGTAAGTATTAACCAGAACAACTTGTACATTGAAACTTCAATTTTGATGAGACAGTATAAATTGCATCTGAAATCCAACTAAATTACAGTTTCACCACCCAATATCTTCCCAAAGTTGAACTTTGGGGTTCCCAAACTCAAACCCATCATGCCAAAGGAAAGAAATCATTAAGAATAAGAAAAGAAGCCACAACAAAAGAATACGATCTGCGTCAATAAAAACCCTCAAAGATCCCCCCATCATTAAATAAAGCCAAGACTTCGAAGTGACGGATGATTTAAAGAAGACAGACGCAATCGATGAAAGGCACTACCTTGGGGGACGAAGAGGAAGAAGAGGAGCATGTCCACCGCACTTGGACTGGTGACATCAGAAATCCTAGAATCGAGCACCTCCAACAACTCTTCCTAGGCTTGTATTGCAGGGCAAAGCTCATGACACGCCTGGGCAATCTAGGGTGGCAGTCTGAAATCGAAAGGGTATTTGGGGAGAGCACTCGAGGATACGGTCTATGATACGATGTGATGGGTAAAGAGGTGAACAAAACCAGAAATCCGAACTGACTTGACCCAATCTATGCATAATTAATGGGTCAAATTGGGCCTACACAGCTCCAATTGGATCTCTAATCTTAAACCTAATATCCTTTTGACATCACACCAACTTTGCCAACCAATCCCCCTAACACAACAAACAACTAAATTTAAGATTGAGTATATGTTTAAGATAGGCTTCTATCTTGGTGAACAAGAATCAATCCAACACAAGAATCTAACAAGAATCAATCCAACAGATCAGATGAACGTTAAAAAGGATCTAATAAAGGTCTGACTAGTGATCTAATAAACCTAAGTTTAATCCAATCAAAGGTCAATTTGATTTTGATAACTATGCTTTACAGTTGTAGGAATCATCATCTATGCACTACAAAACAAAAAGCATAAAATGTATACTCAACCTTACATTCCCAACATAAAGAGATTACTTTCTGATCTCTTAGATCACAAAGAGACCATTTACTATTGTCCATAAACCGGCAGTAGGCTACCAGTGGCCACTGAGCCACCAGCAGCTGAGAGAGCACCAAAAGAAATGGTTCCTGAAGGGAAACCATGCAACCTAAAGCAGACTGGTGCATGAATGGCCTCACATCTAATTCAAATCTAACATACCTCCTCTCCTCTTACACCAACCTCCACTAATCTACCATCAGAAATCAACATTGGATACTCTATGCACCATTGATCGACATCTAATCTGTCATTACAAATATCAAATACATAAGCTCAACAGTTACTTGGCCAAAGAACAAAGAGACCATGCTAAGCTACTATTATACTCTATTCACAGGCATTGATCAAGAACTTTTCTTCTTTTTCATCTCATTACTCTCACATTGCACTCTCACCTGATAGATATCACAGCTCTCTGGTGCACCAACGGATGGCTAGCTGATCGCAACATGACTATTGATTGTTATTTGAAGCTGCTGAGGAGAGGTAGACCTTGCATCTGAACCCAGATACGACTGCGAAACCAACCAAGGCCTGAATGAGTCTGGTGGTTCCCAAATCATTGTTGTTATCCTCCACAACGCTCTCCATGTAGACCTCGGAAAATTGTCTCCCCCGCTGCACCTGGAAGATCAACTGGTCTGACTCCCGTTCAAACTAGAAGAACAAGCAGTGGAGGAGCCACATTCGCCTCGCCATCTCTGTGAACGCAGAAAAGAATGCTGAGCTTGGGAAGCCCTGGAGCTCACCATGGCCCTGTGACCGAGATTGAGAAAGAAGCACAATCCCATCCTCGGATGGACCAGTGCCAAATACTTCACCCTGAAAAAATTCATGATCGCTGAGTGCTGGCTCAGCTTTTGAATCTGTTCAACATATCTCAGCTTAGTGAATTCATCAAAATACTTGCAACAGCCCCACATCGACCGGTCTTCCAGGGCAGCAAGATTGTAACTTTTGTGCTGGAAATTAGAGAACATCTTCTGGCAGATATAGGACTGGAAAGCAAAGGTCCGATGAGCAGGCTTGTTGCTGCAGAGCAGATCAGGTTGGATTGCACCGACAGCAGCACTGAGGTCCCAGTCAGCTGACTCCATTTCCTTCATCATTAGCTTAACAAAGGATCAAATGGATTTGAAGGTGAACCGGAGGAAGGCAAGGAAATCGGTGGGATTTAAGCCAGAAGGGTGTAGGCCATCCAAGCCTGAGGATGAGGGAACAGGATGCAGCTTTGACTCCAAAGCTCAGTTATCCTTTTCTGACTCAATGAGCTCAGCCTGAAGCAAGGAAATATCAGAATCCTTGAGCTTGAGGTCATCTTCAAACTTGTTCATGGTGATCTGCTAGGTCTTGATTAGGTTGCGCTGCTCTTCAATTTAGGCAGCAAGTGCTGACTGAGAGCAAGTGGGATTAGGGATTATGAAGTGGTTGCCAAAGTAGGAATGCCAAAGCTCCGAGACTCGTTTGAGCACAGATACAATCGCCAAGTCAGAAGACTATATCAAGTCAGGATCATATGGTGACTGTGCCATCTGGAGCTGGGCATAGGCAGCTTTAACAGCAGAGACGCTTACAAAGAGGTGAGCAAGGAGGGATTCCATCGCTTCTTTCTCCTTCGAGGAGAGCTTCCATTGCTGCTTCTCATGCTTGACTGCATAGAAATCACCGCTACCCTTTGACAGGATGGTGGAATTATCACTCAAGTTTTGTGACAGCTTATGCTTATGAATTGAGTAGTCATCTTCATCAGAGGCCATGCCAGCACCATTGGCAGAGCTAGTGACAGAGCAGCAGAGATGAAAGAACTTGTTGAAAGTCCAAACTAATGTTCCCAGCGTTGGTGGTGGTTTCACTCTTGATGACTCCATGTCTTCTTCTGATTCAAGATTAAAAATAAATAAATAAATCACCAAATTTAAAGCAAAGATGACAGAAAAGGGAAGAGGACTATGTCTAGCAGAAGGCTTTTTTATCCACAATAAGATGTTCTACTTTAGAGGTAGACTTTTTAGGGTGGTCTCCATTCAACTTTGAAGAGAATATGCATATAGTAAAGCTAATAGGAAGAAACAAACAAGAAACCACAACAAGAATATCATTACTTTCTGAAAGTAGGAATACCATCGATATCTTTGAATAAAAGAAAAAGAAGGAATTTAATTATTTAGTTGAATATGATTGTTCTGGAACATCAGATTCTCATAATTGACAGAAACACTGAGCACCATCCCCATGTTGGGGCAAATATACAAATATCAACAGAAGAATACAAACAAAAAATAATAATTGAGAGAAAAGCTTTGGTTTATATAGAATTAGGTGGAAGAGGAATATAAAATAAGATAGCAGTGGGTTATCACATCAATCAGCATCACATATATCTTTTACCTTCTTTATATGAGCACTGAAAAAGTTTTGAGCAAGGTGCCAGTATCATTTGGGATATGTTGCATTGGTTACATCTGAATGAGGATAAACTAGAAAGTCTCAGTAGTAACCAATATAGTACTGATATTGTGACCTATGAGCTGCCATAAGCAAGAAGAGGTTTAACGCATTATTTATTTTAATGCAACATGAAAAAAAATCAAAATTAGAATATGTAAAGAACGATATATCCAACTATGCCCGATAAACAGGTCCATTTGACAGGAATTTGAGAGAGTTGAGATGATATAGCAAGGACATACGATTTGGCACGAGTGGAAAAAGACTAAAACCAGCAAATTGTGTGAAATATAACAAAAAGTGGAAGTGGAGAAAAAGTTCATCGTGCAAACAAAACTACGTGGTAGTCCACAAAAATTAGGACAAGACAACAACTTTGATTAGTTCATGCTAGGCTCAGCATATTGAGCTCTGGTCCTACCCAACCTACACAAGTCAACTAGAACACGTCTGCTTTTACTTTGACATATTCTCACACTTAATAATAAGCATATAATTTACATAAAACCTCTTTTTACGATGTTAATGATGCAAAAGAAAGTAGCCTACAGATTCCACAGATCTAATCAATTATAGTGACCACGTAAAGACAATGATACATATTTGATTGGGTCCCTTCAGAAAAGTCTAAGGTAGACTTTTATCTCATACTCATTCTCAATCTACTGAGCCAATGGGCCAGACTTCACCATGATATAGACCATTATGATGACAATGAGTGCATAAACTGTTGCCTTAATAAGTTTTAAGTTTTTCCAACTCTCTTAAGCTCTTTAAAGAGAAGTGCTTTCGATTCTTTGCTCCTACATCATAATTACTCAAACCAAGGAATCAATTTGGTGTTACTGTTTCTAGGATGCATCCATATGACAACACAACAAGATTTCCCAATACTGGCCCACCCACTGCAACACTACATAGGTGAAACCAGTGTCACTTGCGACAGCAGCACTTCCAGGCTACTAAGCATTGGCCCATGGACCAAATGAACAAATCTTCTATGGGAGAAGAGACTAACCCCAGAGCAGAAAGCAAAGCTTAATTAGTGCTAGCAAACAACAGATTACTACATTTTGTATAAGCACATCTACACTTCCGCTCACCTCTCTTGGGCCCACACTGCTACCAACACCCCTTCTCAAATCTCATGTACGTAGATATGCATGTATGTGTTATGTACAGAACGCGCACACAAGATAAATTTCCGATGTGTATAAAAGTAGGCAAAACAGCTAAAAAGAAGTCACTGGACATGCAAAGATTCAAAACCTATCAGGACCAAAAATGCAAAATCCGATTTTTGAGACAAAAGATGAGGGAATAAGGTCGGAGTAAAGAGAAATGTCAGATTTTTACCTCAAAAAGAACCAACTTTATTAGGGATTAGGAGAAGAATAGGCTGTTAATAGGGTTTATCTGAACCCAAGACATAGAAGAACCCCGGGAAACCCTCAGACGGTAACGCGTGAAGAAGCCGAAGCAAAGGGCCTTCTCATCTCTTATTCCCCCTCTCGACGCTCATCGCCATCAGATATGATCGCATCGCAGCTGGAGCAATCATTTAGAGGGGCGTCGCCTCAAGTACAACACCGCCCATTCGACTGGCCACGAGCGAGGTTAGTCAATGACGAAAACGACCCCAAGATCGAACTTTTGAAATGGCCTTCACCATCTTCTTCTTCAAAACGCACGTCCGTGGCGAGAGATCGAGATCAGGGGCGAGACCGACAGACAGCAAACAACAGGCAGGGGAAGGACAGGGAAGGGAGCAAGGTAGCGTTGGGAGGCGGGCCATCGGAAGACCAAAACACTAATTACATATTATATTAACCCGTGTAATTAGATCGTTTAACATTTGAATGTTTAGATTTAAAAAATTTATATTAAAATTTTTATAGCCGTGAATGATTGTTATGATGTCGGTGACAATGACGTGATGGTTTATCTTACTAAAGTCGATTTGATATCGACAACGAGGAAGTAACGAGGTATATGTGTCGCTGAAAGAGGAGGAAGGTGAAGCATTTGTGTTGACGTGAAAGGAGAAAGAGGAGGCAAATGAGGCGACCATCACGGTGTTGTGCTTAAATCATCAGATGGTCACTTTGTCCAATAGCATTCGAGGAAAGGGGTGGTGGGCCACGAGAAGCAGGGAGAGATCATGAGTGAGCTCAGCGAAGAGGCACGCTTGCTTCGAGCTCTTGAGCCTTCGTCGGTGCGCGAATGACACGCACAACCCGGCCACAATGATGTGGCGGTCGTCAACCTACTGTCATATTAGCTCAGCCTGTGACCAAGGGGAATCCGATCAGATGACAATAACTGATTACCATACAAAATAGAGGCCCAAAGAGTATAGATCCGATAGCCGGAGAGACAACAAACCCTCATTCTTCTTTCCACTCACCTTCGGTGTCGTGATGGTGGGGGAGAGTATCCAAAAGATAGCGACGATAAATATGATCGAATCTGTACTCTTTGGGCTTTTATTTTATGTGGCGATCAATCTTCGTCATCCGATTTGATCCACTACAATCACTAACGGAGCTAATCCAGAAGTAGATCAGCAACCACAACATTATGGGCGGGGGCGGGTCATATGTGTCAACTGAAGCTCGAGAGCTCAAACTCACAACCTCTCCCTCCTCGTTGCTCATCGCCCCCTTCCTCGAATGCACCACGTCATTGGACAAAGCGATTGTCTTATGATTTGAGCGTTACACCTTACACCATGGTGGTGGCCTCACCTATCTCCTCTGGCACCAATATAAAAGGCAAAACAATGTGACACTGATGCAAATGTGTCACCTCCCTCATCTTCCTCCTTTGATGTCAACATAGATGCCTCACCCCTCAGCCTCCTCTTTCTTCTCGTCGTCAATGTTCGAATCGACATCGACAAAATTAACCATTGCATCATTATCATCAACCACCACCACAACGATCACCCATGATGTCATCATCTGCCACCATCGCTAAAAGTTTTTTGTTTATCATTTTCATATCATTCATGCTCACATACTATATCTTTAATTAATAAAATCGATGATATTATAATAAATAAAAATAAATATTTAACTTAGAGAGATTTTGATAATTTTTTAAAGTATAAGGATCACGATGCAACTAACTAGTAGAATAGGGTGTACACTATGAAAACAAGAAGTGTCCAACCGTCCAACTTTGAAGGTATCTTGAATTAGCTATGTAGGTGCTTATCCAGATCAGGTTTTTCTTTCTCCCTAGTTATTTGCAATGATCTTGAAGGAAAGATAATGCAATGATCAGATGCAACTAAATTGATGCAATGACGTTCAAGGAGCGGCCATCTTGGAATAACATCACCAAATGCACTGTCTTGAGGATGCACCGATCTCGAAGGAGCGATCATCTTGGAATGACATAGCTCGCGTGACTCCAAAACACTCCATGGCTCATTTTGATAGGTTGGACGTCGTCAATTCTCGATCGGCTACACCTACAAATGGAGGCATTCTACAATTCAATAAGAATCAATGAAATTATGCTAATATAGAAAAAGGGAAGGACTACAATTGAATTCGATGAGTCAGAAAGAAAAATCTTAAAAAACAAAACAGATATAATCTTTTATCACATGAACAAACCAAATATAATCTTTTATCACATGAACAAACCAATTGCTTCCATCTCATAAAATAACAGACTCATAAAAAAACATGCTTTTATCTGTTAATTTTTTAGCTGCAGAGTTAAAAAGCCTATGTCAGTTAATATAGAACTGACAGATCAATCGTAGCATGATGATGATGTTCGGTGATTATTACATGGAATACAAGAACTTTGGATGGTAATGTAGCAGTAGCATGGCAATTTCTTCAATATAATCTTAATCAAAACAGTTCCTGGATCATAATCAAATAAAAAGAAAAAAAAGGAAAACAACTGTTCTTGGATCTCTGGAGGCAGCAATAGCTTTAGTGCTGTAAGACCATTTCCACGACGCGATGGCCAACTAAACAACAGTGTTTGTGTACACTGTATCCGTTCAGTCTAAACAGGCTTGCATGTGAATGCAACAAAGATCACATCCAATTCCAACTGCCAGCAACTCAGAATGCAACTAATCTAAATTACCCACACTATTTGACTTGCAACTTGTTGTAGTGATCAGCAGCTGCAGAGAGTGACTGAATTGACACAGGATATCCAGGCCCCATCTGAAAGAAAATAAAGCATAGAAGAAGGCAAATGTAATTTCAGAAGATGACAAAACAGATCGAGTAATAAGAGAACCTTAATACTTGTTGCTTATATTTAAGAAGCAATCGAAATGCAAATCCATGATTACAAAGAAAAAAGGGCCACCATCTCACTCAAACAACAAAGAATAGATGAGCCTAGCAAAATCAGTATGTTGACCATCCACAACATCAACCATTGCAGTAGCAATATGATACAGAAGGAATTATTATTTTGTGTGTTCACTTGAGCAAGTACGATACAACAAAGTGTACTACTGATCACAAATCCTAAATCACTTGACCCTTAGAGGCTTCTACGAACATAAATAGATCGAAACAAATCATGCAGGAGGTCTCCAGAATTTCAAGTATTAAATTTATTAAGCACTTGCTTTGAGAACCTCAAAAGGTTTAAAAACATGGTTTTGCAGCGATATAGATAGAGCAGAAAGTGACTCGTAACATTCTACCACGATTGGGAGTTTACTTTCCAGTAGTTTTCTATCAAACAGGTGGCTCAAATTTTACTCACCGTGCTACATAAAGTGAAGTTCTTAACATATCCAACAAATTTGGAAGCTGCAATACCAAGGAAAGCAATGTGTGAATAAAAAATTGCAAATAAGATATCTAGGAGAAAAATGATAAGACTAATGGAGGAAATTAAGATTTCATTCTTAAATACATAAAATAGCCCAACTATAGAGCAACTGCCGATATTTCCAAATTTTGTTAATTCCATAGAGTGAAGCCCCTATAGCATCATCAACAATTTCTTAATGCACATAACCCAATTGTGTTATGCTTAATAAACATTCATTAGAAACTGGAAAATCAATCGCAAAGACACTCACTTTTTTTTAGTCCCACAGGCTTTGCAATCAAGAGAGCATGGACAAAAGCTCCAATATTCTCAAGAAGAAACTCCTCTTTAAAGTTGACCTAGAAATTGCAGCAGGAACAAATTAGTTTCATCAAGAACCATAGTGCTTGATCATAACAATACTAAGCACAGGCTTGGTTAACTAGGATAAAATAATTATTCCAATATTTAAGGAAACTCGTATCACTGAAGAACATGTGCTCATTCTGTTGTTGTTTCTAGATACATAACATAACAATAACAAGTACAACCATCATCCCACCTATAAAACCTCTTGTTTGTCATGTCAGGTTCAAGACCGCATGACTTAGATCCACATGATTAGATTAAAGGTTCATTATTTGAATATTTTGTGTTTATACAACTAGCACATCACCATTTATCTTAATATCTCTCAATTTTTATGCCTAAATTGATTAAATTTCTTTTACACTAAAATCCCAGGAAGCATTAGTGCCACACATGTTGCTATTATCAACATAATTTCTCATAGAACCCTGCACTATTGTCCTATTTCAGCCTCATCTGTCACACGCCTCAATTTTGTTTATCAACAGCCCAGCATCTACAAGTGCCCAACTGCCTGTGCCATTGTGTTGGCTGGCACAATCAGCAGCATCAAGCAGCAAATGCCCATTAACCAATGCACTATGTCAAAAATCGGCTAAGAAATGAGGAAGTTTCCATGACTTGCATTAAATATGCATCAAGTCATGTAAGAAACTTTATCTGTCCAACAACTTCCTAAAGAGATATGATTATTGAAGTGTGAATCATTAAGCATTACAAAAATGGTTCAATTGAACAACTCTGCTATAGCCTAGCCCAAATTTGAAAATATAAAATGGCTGGCATGATAATTGATCTTGCTTAGATTGACGAAAGGTGCATAAGAAATCAGACCTTTCCAAGGCCTACATGGACGATAGCAGTTTTGTCAATCTTAAAATCAACACGGCCTGACTTTGCCTCTTTCACAGCTCCCGAAACATCACTTGTCACAGATCCTAGCTATACAAGAGACGAAATGGTTAGAGAAGCATAACAAACACATCTTTCATAATACCTAGTAAAGAAATTGAAGAAACTCACTTTGGGATTTGGCATTAGGCCACGAGGACCAAGGATCCTAGCAATCTGATAACATTTCATGTAAGACATGTAACAAACATATATTCAGAATTAAATATGTACAAGCAATGTTTCATGCTACAAAACCTTTGAGAGACGAGGCATGAATGTAGGAGTTGCTATACACTTGTCAAATTTCAGTTTGCCACCTCCTGCAGAGTTTACTTCAATGATCAAAAAAATCTAATGTAATACATACAGAAAGCAGTTACAATGAATAGTCACCCAGTAAAAACCTGCAGCATCCCCTATGTATCAAGGAAATAGCATTATAAAGCATGACCCAGAATTTGTATATGAAATAAAGTAAATCATGCACCAACCCAGCATCCACTATAATGAATTACAAAATACAAACACAAGAAAATGGAGGAGGCAAGGGGGAAATGAGGAGAAAGAAGAACCTAGAAGAAATAGGAACCTTCCTCACAAGCATCTAAATGTATTCCTCATGATGCAATGGCCCAAGTTTCAAAAAGTAACAAAGAAAGATGAGCATAATTTTTCATCAAGTGTGGCTACCGCCTACATGTATCAAAAAGCATTTGTCCTTACTGGACATGAACAGAAACTAGAAATATTTGTCAACCAATTTGATATTCGAAAGAACTGTCTGAAAATAGCAAACCAATTCTGAAAACATTGGACAAAATGCTAACAAATTCATCCATCGGCATGTTACAGTATTGCACTAAAGAAAAGCTTATCAACAAAATAAAAGTCTTCGAGAATTTTCAGAACAATTGAGAGTTTTCCTACAAGGGATAAAATCCTATTACCATTTTTTATTTCTTCAATAAGCTCCTCACCACCAACAATATCAGCTCCAGCAGCTCTGGCTTCATCTGCTGCAGCCTTGTCGGCAAATACAGCTACCCTAACAGTCTGAACATGAAGTGGTATAAGTATTCTTAACATAATAAACAAAACTAAATGGCATCTAATACAAAACAGGGCACCTTTCCTGTGCCGTGTGGCAGTGTCAGGGCACCCCGTACCATCTGCAACAAGAAAATGTTTTCTAAGTGCAAATGCCAATTCGGTGTAGTAAGAAAAAAACAAGAAAAAAACCACCTGTGAAGAAGAAAGGTAGTTCATAAGCTAGTTAAACAAAATGTTGAGCATCCAATGTTTCAAATGGTAGACTCAAATTATTATGGTGACACTTGCATCCCAACGAGCACCATGTTAAGTGCTTGCACATCCACCATGCCATGATTCAAATACAAGATAGTTGTGTAACATTGGATGCAACAAGTTCACTGTCACCAATCATATGGGCTCAACTGAGAAAGGATACAATCGCACGATGCCTATTATCCTCAACAACAGTCAAGACTGAATGACAAAATTAATGACAGAGGCTCTTAGACTTGCTTTGTTCTTATGTTGCTTCTTAGTGTTTGTGCTGCCATTTAGGTATTTATAGTTTCCGTTATGTGGAAAATATTTACAGCAGCTTTGTTTAGCTGTCTGCATTTTTTTTAAAAAAAATCTTAACAAATCCATCTAAATAACCAAGGGCCACAACAATGATAACAAATTTTATGCATGCAAGACAAGCTTGAAAATTATATGACATGCATTATCAGCATCAAAGAATATTATAACAAACCTGGTCGCCTCTACGTGGATCAACTCCCAAATTAACATGAGCTTCCATTGTTTCGACGAACTTACGCTTTGCATTAGCCTGAATAATGGCTAGAAATCACAAAGAACAGTGAGAACTGAATCTTGCAAGAAAAAGCAAATTGCCAAAAGATGACAAAGACTAACTAAATGTACCAAAAACTCGCACAAATGCTAGCTAACCCTTATACTTTCTGCGGTCACTCTATGTTATTTTTACACAACTAACACCAACATAGTCTAAAATAATATCCCAAATACTCCTATTAGTGTTAGAAAATTCATTTCTTGTTATCTCTTATATTGAGGTGCCATGAATTATCTAATAGTGATTGAAAAAAGACTTTATCTGGCACTTTTATTATTCTATTTGGTTTGATCAGCTCTATCACTAACTCTTTAAGTTCGAAAAAGGGCAAAAATGTTAAGAAAACTAAATATGAGTATATTACACCTCAATCCTAACCTAAACAAGACTCAATCTGCACCTGACTCAAACCACAGGTCTACAAAATAAAACACGTTTCAATTGCCATGATCAACCAGTTTTTTAAGATCCAAAGAGCTACTAGCTAGTTTTTCATGTGACCTCATTGTACAACATTATAGCAATGTTGGTTGCTTGTTGTATCCGTATCATAAGACATAACCAGATATTAAAGCCACATGCCGACCTTGACTTGTCGAATGGCCTCCATCAAATCCATGGGCACCTTCTGAGACTTCCTCTCCGGAACGATGAGCGTCGGGAACGGAATCTTCGGCTCCTCCTGAAGATCAAAGAAGCTCCGTGCACGGGCACCCGACTGGATCCTTCTAGCTTCCCTGTGCAGCTGCCCGTCATCACCTTTCGTCTCCTCCGGCTCCGGCGCCCTGTACTCCGGCAATGGCGCCACGCGCGCCTGGTAAGAGACCGGGGATATCGTCGGACCGTCCTTGACGAACCGGGCGTCCGCTCTCGTCCAAGGGCGAGAACCCCCATCCGGGACCTGGGACTCCGCGCGCGGCAGCCTCGGCGGAGGCGAGGGAGGGGAAGGAGCGCCGTTCGAAGCGTCGGGGCTCTCCTCTTCGTCGGGATCTTTGGGCTTCACGGGGTAGGAGACCGGCGAGATGGAGGAGGAGGAGAGGGATCTCGAGAAGAAGAAACTGGGGACCGGAGATGTTTCGGAGGGGGAGGATAGAGGGACTTGGAGAGGTCGGAGTCGGTGGTGGTGGCGGCGGGCGTGGGAGAGGAGGAGAGCGAGACGGGCCATTGGGGGCGTCGCGTTGGGGCTGGCGCCGTTGAGGTGGGGTTTAACGAGGAAGGTGAAGCGGCGAAGGGGTATTTAGGGCAGCGGGCACTTAATTGGGCTTTTTGGGCTTCAATAAAGTTTGGCCGGAAGCCTAATTTTAGATTTCCTTTGTTTTATTACTATTTCAGAATAAAAATGAAATACATCTTTCTATGTTTTCTTAGGCTAATTACATCTTTCTAAATTAGACCCTTTAGTATTTTAATTTTTAATTTTAAAAAATATATATTAAATTTTTATGATTATGAAAGTTAAATATTTAACTTCATTTACTTTAATACTATTAGTTTTATCGACGAAAGATACAATGTGTGATAGTACATAATAGCACGTGCATTACATAAAAATAATGAGTAAAAAAGTAATTTCAATGATAGCGGTGGACGATGGCATCATGGGTGATTATTGTAGTAGTGGTTAACAAGAACAATGCATTGGTTAATCTTGTCGATATCAATCCGAACATCAACGGAAGGAGAAAGAGAAAACAAAGTAGTGAGGCATCTGCATCGATGCCAGAGGAAGAGGAGGCAAGTGAGGCATATGTTTTAGCATCACATTGCTTTGCCTCCTTTGATGTTGCTCTACATTTGTATCATTGTTGAAAGAGGAAGAGGAGAGAGGTGAGGCATATGTGTCGATGCCACGTTGCTTTGCCTCCTTTTCCTCCTTTGATAGTATTATATATTTGTGTTGGTGCCAGAGGAGGAAAAGAAGAGGGGTAAGCATTTGCATTAGTGCCGCAACGCTCTACCTCCTCTTCATCCTTTGATACTGCTCTACATTTGTGTTGGCATCAAAAGAAAAAAAAGAGACAGGTGAGACATTTTCGTTGCTGATAACAAGGAGGGATGAGGAATATGAGGCAAATTAAGAAGAGCAATGCAACACCAAAGGAGGAAGAAGAGGCAAGTGAGGCACCTGTGTCAACGCCGCACCACTCTACCTCCTCTTCCTCTTTCGATGTTGTTTTACATTTGCGTTAGCACTAAAAGAGGAAGAGGAAGGAGGTGAGACATTTGCATTAATGCTATATTACTTTGCCTCCTCTTCCTTCTCGAGCGTCATCGTATATCTATCTCGGTGTTGGAGGAGGAAGAGAAGATAGGTGAGGTATTTACATCATCGATAATAAGGAGGGAGGAGGAAGAAGAGGTAGAACAATGCAATGTTAGATGAGGAAGTGAAGGGAGGCGAGGAATTTATGTGAAGGAGAAAGATTCTGTAGAGTAGTGTGATAGTGACACAGATGCCTTAACTCTCTCCTCTTCCTCCTCTAGTGCCGATGCAAATAGTGCTAGACGAGGAAGAGGAGGTACAGTAGTGTAGCGCTCATCGCCATCCTCTTTCTACTTCAGTGTCGACGTAGATGCAGAGTAACACTGAAGGAGGCACAGAAAGCAAAGTGGTACAACACCAATGCATATGCCTCATCGCTCTGCATCATCTTTCTCTTTGTCATCAATGTTCAGATCGACATCGATAAGGTCGACCATCGAATCATTCTCGTTGACTACTACCACAATAGTCATCTACAGTACCACCATCCGTCACCAACATTAAAATTATTTTTTTGTTGAGCTATATTTTTCGTTGGTAAAACCTCTGTATGGCAATCCTTGGCCTTGACGTGATAGGGCAAGTTTTGCCCCGAGAACACGTTACGACTAATGCTACATGTCACCACACACACGAAATGAATGTGTACCTCAAACCTCTGTACGGCACAACCAGACTCGATAAACCCAAAATGGCATCACCCCGTACGCCGAGCCCGATTTTGGCCCGTCCAACGAACAAGTTAGTCTCCCCCTTTTCGGGGACGGGACATAGTTTTTATACTATCAAGGGACCACCGACTATACGTGGGTTGACGTGGTGGACACAGCACGACATTGGTGCAGGTTCTGACTCGGCGTACGGGGCGATGTCGTTCCGGGTTTACTGGGTCTGGTTATGCCGTACAGAGGTTTGAGGTACGCATTCATTTCGCGTGTGTGGTGACGTGTAGCATTAGCCGTGATGTGTTCTGGGGGCAAAACTTGTCCTATCAAGTGTGTCCGATAAGAATTTATCGATGATCAATTTAATAAGTGTCTAATGTGCAAATACTATTCGGAATAGGAAAGAATCCATCCATGTTATATCTGGAAAGATCCTTACTTAGAGTACTTGATCACTGACAATGAATAGTAGGGAAGGTTAGAGATACGAGGACTGATTTGAAGAATGTTGTAAGAACCGGTGGCTATAGTTGATTAAGATCCATATGTATGTTGGGTTTCAATAGGTGAAAATACTAATTACATCAATTTTGATTCTTAGAAATGTTTTTCTTCCCTTTTAATTTTTTCAAGTAAAAGATGAGCCTTCATTAAGCTTTTACTTGATATTTTCTTCATCTTCTTCTCAACCACTCCCCTTTCGCATACAGTGAAGAATACATCTGGCTGTTTCATGAGAACATTTGTGAAGACCAGAACATGGAATGATCTCTACAGTAAGCATTATTCTCTTCTGTAGAATATACACTCACAAAATGTTACAGTGCCTCACTCTGTCAGATTGCATTCCACAAGAACCATGTTGGTTGCAGTTGCATGCATGCATATCACAGCCGGGAAGCACAATTGACTGCACAAATCTGCAACTTTGACCTCAGATATACAGTGATGGAATGTACTTTGTGCAATACTATTGCTTTAATGTGTTTCCACCTGATTTCTATTTGGTCAGAACACAATTCAGTGAAGCATAGTAAGAGTGCAACAATGTTCCATGAAAACCACAACAAAGCTTTCTTTGCCACAGAAGCAGGCTACTCCAGCGCCAAATATAAGCCCTAATGTTTGTGGCAACAAAGACAGCCATGACAGCCTGATGTTATTGCACCCGGCACGCAAGAAAGGAGGTATCAATCTGCTCAGATGATACTCGACAATCTCCAAGCAAGAAGCACCAGAAGTAACACCACCGACTATGTTCTCGGAGGCTGTTGTTTCTTGACATGTCTTTCCGGCTCCAGCAGGTCTATCAAATCTGAGATGGCCTTTGTTTATTCTTGTAATGGGAGAGAAGCCCTCTACAAAAAATAAGGTGATGATGGTGCACGATCATGTCATGGATGTACTACACTTGTGAAATAAATATGACTTCTGAGTGCAATAATCCAAAGGTTGGAAATGTTTGAAAAATTGACGTAATGCATGTCATGGATAAAGGAGTTAATCAAAGTCAGGTTTTGTACAATCAGGCCGTAAAAGTTCAGCAAGAGGCATAATAAGCCTCCACATTTATAAAAGAGGATTGAAATCACCAATCACAGTGAAAATCCCATGCATAAACATACTTTCACATTTGCTGCTTTACAAACTGAAGTTTTATGTCGATCAAAGCAAACAATAAGTTATCTGAAACATCCTTTTTTTCCCTCTGGGTTCATGTTGCACTGCTATGGTTGTTTACTAGTACTGACAGACTTAGGGGAGTCCAAAGGAATCAAAGGCAAAAAGAAAAATGAAAATATTAAGGAAACATATTAAAATACCAAAAAAATCAGACTCTTCAACTTTTCAATGTAGTTGAAGATTCTCATGCGATTTTAAGAAAAGTTTTAAGAAATGCATGCATCGGTACATTTACAGGAAGATCTATATACCTCAAATATATTCTCTGTGAGGTTTCCATTAATTGCGTCTATATTCTGGATCGTATCCCCGGGAAGTTCTTCCTCGTTCTCTATGACATCTTTCTGCACATCGTCCTGCATCTAAGAAGAAAACCATGAGAGCCAAATACACGCATATTATCTTACTCCAGACTTTATGTGGTTACCACAGCGAAGCTCCAAAATTTCAAAATTTGACAACACTCATGATGATAAAGATGCATAGAAGCAAAGATATGAAACATACACCAGGCATTTCTATGATCTTGTCAATCACTACGCAGATAACTAACCCTCTGCATATTACCTCTGCTCTTGATTATGATATGACAGGCAATTAAACAAACTACATACAAATTGAGGGTTATAATTATATGCTACCGTAGGATTTGCCATAGCAGTTTTCCACAATGCTAAGTGTCATGATGCAACAACAAATTTAAACAAACAAAATGACACAAGATACTCTGAGCAGTAAAGTTTCAACAAGTTGTTTCGACATATATGGTAGTGTCTCCCCGAGTGATCTCCAGAACCATTACCTTATGGATCTTTTCTTTCTTATGAAAAAGGTCTTTTCTCTGAGTTGAGGTTTCCTCTTTTTCCATGTTGTCATGCATCATATTTAATAACCATTGACATAAAGCAAATGAATACAACGATGTACATTACACCGATAATCTAAATCTAATTAGCAGGAAACTAAATCTTTAAGCAATTAACAAAGGAAGATGCTTATGATTTAAGCTATCATCGTCATTCACATAGTATGACAACTGCAAGATAATGAATTTACCATGAAGGAATGTTCAATGCAATTAACCTGGTATCATCCTTAAAATTGTAACAAAGAAACTAAATCTTTAGGCAATTCTTGAAGGGGAAGAAAATTGATTAAGCTAAAATGTTATCGCCCTTCACACAGATCACAGAGACGTTCAAAGTAATGGATTTACATCTTAAGAACAAGTATTGCAAGTTACCTGGGTTTTGCCAGCATCAGACAAGGACCGGCCGAGAGAGACTGCCGTATCAAGAACAAAGCTTGGAAGCCTCTTGATGTCCCAACCAAGAACCTGGCACACAGCTTTCGCCAATGCCCGGTGTGCTCCCCTCCTCTTTGCCTTCGATGTTGATTTCGCATGCTGCACGAGTCCCATACAATTTCGGAATCTCCTCACCCTCTTCGACCCAATTCCTGCACACGCAAAGCAAGAGAACTCCCCTTTCTCATAATTCTTCTCGTAGTACTCCCTCAGCTCACCATCCTTCACAAATAGCTCCGTAAAGAACCTGAAAGGTCCCATCTTTACCCCATCATTCTCCTCCATATCGTCTTCCTCGTCCTCATCGGAGTCGTCTTCTTCGGAGAAGAAATCCTGGGAGGCCTTCAACCCGTTATGTTGGGCTTGAGCCGCAGCTACTCGGGCCTGATCCTCAGCGGAAACGGGCATGCTGGTAGCCGCGGCCTGAGTGGGCGCCAAATCGCCCCACGTGGTGGGCACCGCGTTGGTGTCCGGCGCGGGAATCGAGGGCCATTCCGGCCCGGAGTCGGTGCGGGCGGCAGCGGCCTTCTCCTTCTTCCCCCTCTTCTCCTGCTTCGACTTCTTCTTGAAGGCGGCGGGGGCGGGATGGAGGGCAGGCCCGGGACTAGGGTCAAGGTTACGGTTGCGGTTGGGCGGGGTGCCGCGCCGCCAAAGGGAGTGGAGGTAGAGGACCTCCTCCGCCCTAAACCGCTCGAGGTCGGCCTGCGGCACGCGTCGAGACCGGTGGCGTGGCAGCGACGACAGGAGCGAAACGACGAGGTGAGTTGACCGCTCCCGAAGGAGGGAGTGAAGCTGGCGTTCGGTGGGGAAGTGCTCGCAGTGAGTGACGCGACCGCGGGTGGGGTGCGATGATTCTGATCCTCCGATCCTGACCGTTCGTGTATACGTACTGGTGAAATTGGTGAACAAACGGTCAAGATTTCACGGACTCGAATGGCTACGGGAAAAACACACAATATGGTCAATAACAAAGCTCGGATCGGGTCGGACGCGGACGAACCCGATTCGACTGACAACAGCCACGTAAATGCCTAACGGATCCGACCCGTTACAAAAATTGGATTCAACTTTCCGACCCGTTTCCCGCTGGCACGCGTCTCCTCCTCCCCGCTTCTTTTTGGCTGATATGTAGCGTGCCCCTTCTTCACCACCATCAGCAGCCTCGATCCGATCGTTAAAGCAGCTCGCCTGGCGGTTACCCTCCGATTCTTGGGGATCTCTCTGCTCTTTGCTCCACTATTTTCTCAGGTTTTTACTCTCTTTTTCTTCGATCTTGGATCTTGGAGGATTGGTTCGGTTCTCGGAGTGTAGAAAAGATTCGTTTTTTGTGTTATTTGCATTGTGACATAGGTCAATGCGGCAGGTGTTGGGTCGACTCTTGTTCTTGATTCGCTATTAAAACTCTTCTGGTTTTGGGTTCATGTTTTTGCTCATAATGATATCTGGCTTCCACTGTTATTTTCATCGACATTTGATCTTGGGCTATGTATTCGGTTATGGAAATTTCGGAAAACTCAAATTTTCTTTGTTGTTGTTGCTTCAATTCTTTTAGGTTTGTTTGGATTGGGATGGCATTTTACAGTTGTACCTTTTGGGAAGCTTTTCCTTGATTGGGATTGGGGTTATTTGATGCTCATGTATTTAGAGCACTTCATGCTATTTAGAGCACATCTGTGCATACTCCATTGTACTCTCATCTAAAGTGGACATGCACATTATGCTTTCTTCCTGATAAATTCACTTTTATTGTCACAATAGACTTGTCAAGCATGCTTTCACTGATAGATTTGGATCAAGATGGTAGAGTCTCGATCCCCCTAAATTTTATGTAACCTTGTGATTGGTATCTTGTGGTGCAACATGAGTGTGTGTCTTACTCTCATACATTGTTTTCTTAGGTTCTCTTCTTGCTGTTCTTTCTCATGTTGGTGAAGAATACATATCTTCTTTTTGTTTGCACTATTGCTGCAGAACTGATTTAAAAAAGTTGATTTGTTCTGTCTAGATTAGGAATCTATCATAAGAGATCTTTAGTGCATAAGTATAAACTCTTGACAAAAGAGTTACTTCAGTATTTTTTCATATTTGTGGTATAAATTCATCACAGGGTAATATGTCTTGAGTGCTAAATGTTGTGGTAACTTCCTGTAGACATTTCTGGAGATTCAAACAGGATACTACAGTATATATAATCAACTGCCATAATTAACAATGACTCTTGCTATATATGCCTTACCCATTTCTTTCTTGTGCCAACATTCTGAACTTGCTTTTTTTTTTTTGTTTTGGATGTAAAAATCTATCATATTTTTTGTAAGGAAAATAGATGTGCCAACTGGTTGACAAACAAAGCTAGATCATCTAGAGCCTCTTTTTTGCTTCAAGGGAAGTAGCCTGAGGCATTGAATCTTTTTATGAGTGATGATCTCTTAGGCACTGGTGTAATTTGATGCTTAAATTAATTTAAACTGTTTTTATTTTTGAAACAAATAAAAAGGCATATCCATTCCTTGAGAGAGCCCCACCCACCATAGGCATGTAGAACACATGGTCATGTTCCTGAAGGAAAAGCCTTTATGCAATGCATTTTCAACATCCAGGGGAAGTTGTGCTGTAAACAAGTAGTATCTTCACAGTCATATATCTGTTGGACCACTGCTATCAATGAAACAATTTTTATCCCATGTTCATTATTTTTACTAGTTCAAGAGTATGCATGATCCATGTCCTCTTTTATGATTTAACAGATGTCCTGTAATCTGTCAACCCATCTGAGGAGGAGTTATGTTAATTGGTTTTTTGTAGTTCTTGTTTTAAATTTATTTGATTGTGACACTTAGGAGCATTCTTTCATTCTATCTTATCTTAATCTATTAAAAAAAAATCTTAAGAGCATTCAAAGTGTTTTAACATATCCTCTTCCCACAAAGGTCTAGAAATACAAATTAAATCTCATTTTTAAGGTCTTTTTTTTTACCTAATAATCTTTTTATACTTAAATTTATTCAAATGAATTTGATTCTTCATTAAAAATTTAATATTTTTTTTCTTATTGTTGCATATCTTCTGTGCAACTTTGTATTGAGTGGTATTCATCAAGCAATGTTTCATATAATCATATCCTTTTATATCTTTCCCTATTAGAGAAATAAATATATATTAAATGACATATATGATATTTTCTCGTGAATTCATCTATCACTTATGAAATATTACATGAATCTGCGTGTATTCATTTTCTCGCCGTTCGATCCCAAATGGTCAGGTTGACCAAGATGCCGGAGATCCAACGGTCGAGGATTCCATCATCAGACCTCTACACGCATCTCGGAGTAGCTGTCGCCGAAGACCCAAGCCTTGGAAGACGAGGATGAGGAAGAGGAACAGATCGATGCGATACGACCTCCCATGGCGTCGCAGAGAGATCGCGAGAATTACGTCTACATCGCCAAGCTCGCCGAGCAGGCCGAGCGCTACGACGGTACGAATCGCCCTCACTCCTCTCTTCTAGATCTCTGAACCCTAGGGCTTTGCTGGCGCCGTCGGATCCCCTAAATTCGGGTTTTTGATGACGTTTACTGGGCGCAGAGATGGTGGACGCGATGAAGAAGGTGGCGAGCCTAGACGTCGACCTCACCGTGGAGGAGCGAAACCTGCTGTCGGTGGGGTACAAGAACGTGGTCGGGGCGCGGCGGGCCTCGTGGAGGATCCTCTCTTCGATCGAACAGAAGGAAAAGGCCAGAGGCAATGAGCATCACGTCAAGCAGATCAAGGAGTACCGGCAGAAGGCGGAATCGGAGCTCTCCGGCATCTGCAGCGACATCATGACCTTGATCGACGAGCATCTAATCCCGTCCTCCACCGCCGGGGAGTCATCGATTTTCTTCTACAAGATGTGAGCCTGATCTGAGATGTTGGGTAAATGCACATAAATTTCTGAGGTCTGACCTTTTTGTTTGGTTTGATTACAGGAAGGGAGATTATTATCGCTACTTGGCAGAATTCAAGACTGGCAATGAGAGGAAGGAGGCTACAGACAAGTCTTTGGAAGCATATCAGGTAGTGTTTTGACTCAAGTTTTAACTTTTTCTATTATTTTTGGCTCTATATCTGTTTCATCTCAAGTAGCTGCCTTAGGTAGCGACATTTTGAGATTCCTTCTAAAAATGATATTTTGTTGCACTTCTATCTATATCAGAGTCATTGATTGATAATGTAGTTCTTGATTACTTTGTCATGGTCTTTCTATTATTAGTTAACTGTCATGATTTAAGGATATCTTGCTCTCCTCTCTTGTGATGTTCTGGTTGTCATGTGTTAATTGACTTCATCTTGTCATATCTTGCTCTCTGATCTCTCATTGCCTCCTCCTGTATCTCTCTCATCTCTCATCTCTTCATCTTGGCTATTTACTTTGCCTAATGAAAGCAATATATTATAGTTGGAACAAACTATTTAGCTACTCTATTTTGGTTAGTGAACTTTGGATTCATCCTGGAAAATGTGTTGGTATGTGCTACACTAGACTTGTGATGTAACCTTATTCATATTGTTTACAGAGTAGTGTTTTGCTGTAGTGATTTTTTTTTATTGTCTGGAACCATTCAACAGGCAGCTACCAGTACAGCTGAGGCAGATCTGCCTCCTACACACCCAATTCGCCTTGGTTTGGCATTGAATTTCTCTGTGTTCTATTATGAGATCATGAACTCACCTGAAAGGTATGACCTGCTACAGTTTTACTTATTTGACATCATTCAGATGGTTTTGTTCCAGATTACATGTCATTTAAATCCATTTCCAGGGCTTGTCACCTTGCCAAGCAAGCTTTTGATGAAGCAATTTCTGAGCTGGATACATTGAGTGAGGAATCGTACAAAGACAGCACATTAATTATGCAACTTCTGAGGGATAACCTCACATTGTGGACCTCTGACATCCCTGAGGATGGAGGTAATAGCAATTCTAGTATTGGGGTGGTGGTCCATGCTTGTTCTGATTTTATTGCATCGTGAAGTTTATTTTGTGCTTGCATATTCGAATAAGGCATATTGGGATGTTCATAGCTATGCATAAGCTTGGAGCATAAAGATGTTTTGCCTGGCATTTATGTAAAGCTTTGTTATACATGACGTTAGACATTTTCTTGGCAAAGTTGCACATTGTACCAGCAAAACAAAAAGGAAAAGAACAGACTCTTCTACTCACTTTCTTTTAGATATTTGGGAATCCTTCCCTTTTGTTACATTGAAGATGTCTTCAAGTTAGAGTGGGAAAGTTTATCCAGATTAGATGTGACATGGAATTTGTCCACAGGTATGGACAAAAAAAGGTACAACCATCCAGTGACTTGACTAAGGAACAGTGGCAATCTAAACTTTGGATTCTTAGATGCTTTAGCAAAAATTCAAGATTCTTAAATGCACTAAAATATTTTTAGCATGATCTGGAAATGTATGGTTCTATTTGAGAAAAGCTATTATTTTATGTGTTAGAAGAACCCTGACCTACCAAATGGCAGCTGATGCTATTATAGACATCTGATGCCTATTTGTTCCCAGCATCTGGTCAGTAAATGCTGCATGCAAAGGCACATTGGTGATAGATCCTGTAAATGGTCACCTAGACACATTCTTGTATATTTTCTGAACAGTAAGCCATGGTTCTTAAGATTTATTTATATTTTTTTTGAACTAAATTAGATAGAGGTATTGATGTACTGCTCATTTTAAAAGTCATTCATAATAGTTTGTCTGATGGATACTATTTTGACTTCTTATGCATGTCTGAGTGTCTACCTCATCTATGATAGACTAGCACAACCAGGAGATTACTGACCTCTTTCCCAATAAATTGAAAGCCCTGGCACTGGCTGTGCTTGTATTTACATTATCCATATTGTCATTAGATCCAATGACACTTCTTTCCCTTGAATATAACTGCTTGAGAAATTTGATGATGCATATTTGCTCATTGCTTCAGTTTGCTTTCTCTTTTACCTCTGTTGATTCTTAACTGTTGGCATATGCAAGAAAGTAATTTGTCTCCAAATGCATTATTCACTATTAATTTAGTCATATTTGGTTTGCCCATAATTTTTTTGAGGATGCTAAACATTTGCACTTACTCCACATTTTCCTAATTTAGTTTGCTTGTTCATGTAAATCAATACACAATAATCAAGTATCAGGTTATATTGTCATATATAGGATAAGGGTGTTTCTATCTTCGGAGCATCTCCTCTATGAGAACATAAGATAAAACCTGTTTAGCTTTTCTTTTTCCCCCTTCATTTTTATGTCTTTTGTTTGTAAAAAATCTAAACTGATAGTTTTTTTTCTGACTTTTTTTTTTTATTTTATTAAAGCATTTTACTTGTTTCTAGAATTTTTGGAAGTAGTGATTAATAAGTATCTTCTTCCTTAAATAAATACCAGTTACCAGCAACCATCAGACCTAGTCCTTCTTTGGGAATAGAATTTAAGTTAAATTGTGATGATCAAATCTTAGTTTTAAGTTAAAACAAAAATATTTTTGTTGTTTCTTATTCTTAAAACATAGAATATAGAAATAATGCCAAATGGGCTCTGAGGTTCTCAATGCAGGTTCTTGCTATTTGTTAGCAGAGTGACATCTTTATGTCATAATGTGCAAAAAGTACTCATGTAATATTTGGTTCGTGGCAGTAAGATTAGCATGGATCACAATATGAGATCCTGCTACTTAATTGGAGTTGGGTGGATAACTTTTTCTTTGGCTTTCTCATGCTGAAGTGTGATGGCGCCTTACAGATATATCAACCTTTACGAGATGAAACTATGTGAATTCATTCTGATTCCTATCCCTTAAATAAAACATTTGGGAAACTGTGGATTCTCGGTGACCTTCTGTGCTGTTTGTGAGTGTTTAATTTATTTTCTAAACTTTACCCTGGCAGTACAACCCAGCAAAAGCTTACTTTTCTTATATTTTCAGTTATTCACTTCTCGTGATCTTAACTTGATTATCTGTCATGTTTGCACCCTGATTGCTGATGTTCTTATTGGCCTCTGCAGAGGATACTGCAAAGAGCGGTGCAGGTGAAGATGCACAGGTAGGATTTATATGCTTATCTGATGCCGTATAAGTTTTGGAGCCAAGTTTTTCTAGAGCTCACCATTTTAATATCTGCAAATAAATTTTGCAGTGAGTTCAGCCAACTGTAGGGTCAGAACAGCAAAGATAAATTCGCCATTGAAGTACATTGTGGCATGTATGGGCTGGTCGAGGGTAATCTTCAAGTACTAGCTTTCCTTCTCGTGCCTGTAGTGAATATTTATGTTGCCGTTGGAATTTTATCTCAATGGAATGGCTTTGAAATCTACTGGCGCTGAATCTGATTCCTTCATTGTCATGTCTTCAGTAGATATATCAACATCACAGTGTGCCTGTGTTAAGTCCTCCCTAAATTCCTGTATTGGAGTGAAGTTTCAAATTTTTTGTGGTTTTCTCACAATTCTAACTTTCCATTAAGGTTTTTAATTTTGAATAATATAAAGGTTCGCAATACCGTACCGTACCGGAGTTTCGACCTGGGCTCGGTACCGGTATGGTACGGTATACCGCTCGGTACACCCAGGTGTACCGAGCGGTATATTCAGCCGTGCCGAGCACTGTAGCAGTGCTACAGTACTACAGTATTGCTACAGTGCCGGACCGGTAACAGGCGGTCCGCGTATCGGAAGCCTGTCGGATCGGTACGTACCGCCCGTACCGGGCGGTACGGACCTGTACTGCAAACCATGAATAATATTGTCTGATACGAACGGTATGTATCGATCCAACAGCATACTGGTACATGGATCGGTCGCTACCGGACGGAACGATCAAAATTTTAATTGTTATCATCCGGCACAACTCGATAATGATCAATTATGATCATTATTGACCTATAATAGTGTTAAAATGATCGTTGAAGCTCTTTTTTAGCGATTTTTAAACTTATCTTCTCTTATTTCATTCCATTTCATTTTCACACTCTCTTAATTTATCTCAAGTTTTTTTTTTCATATTTACACTCTTAAACTTTACAAAATAATAATTTATGAATTAATAATTTAAATAATTTATCTATAAATATTTTAATATTTACAAAAAAAAAGTAATTCATAACGGATCGAAATATGAATAAAAAAAGATATGTAATAATATTTTTACCTAATTTATAATTATATATTCTTACCTAATTTATATTGGTTTAGTTAAACTTATATTATTATTATTATATTTATTTCTAATTTAATAACTCTATCTTAATTTTTTTTTTCGAAGATTTTATGTCTAAATTAGGTGTACTATTCGGTATGTCCTAGCTCGAAACTTTGGTACGATATAAAATTTTAATCCTTGTTTTTTATTTTTATTTTTCAAGCTTACAGCCATTAAATTTTCTACCACGAAAATTGGAAAGGAACGATCCAAACGATAGAACTGTTTAGCTAAGCTTCTCAGGAGGAGGTGTTTTGCTTCTTAAGGTGCATAGTGAGATTGGGGGGTTTTGTTTGATGATTGATAACAAATCTCATTCTAATTGAAAAGAATGAGGAAATGTTGCTGTTAGCTGTTAGTACACAATGAATTGTTCTCTTTTTGCTATAAGAGCAAGAGAGAATACCTTTGGTTCCCACCTTGTCAATTGCTATCGTTGTGCCTTTATTTGTCGCTCTCAAATGTCGTCTTGCTCTTTTCTACCACCTTCATTTGATGAGATTACCCCTTGTCCTCATGTGTGGCCTTGTCCTTAGCCCATTCTTCGCCTCTTGGATTTCAAGCCACCTATGCTGAAGAAAGTGTGTCATTGCTCATTTCTTCTCATTGCTTTTGTCTCTTGTCATCGCTCAATCAAGGAAACAGAGTAGCTCAATGAGGCATGAGCAATGCTTGGCATGGTAGGCCATGCGAAGGAAGGAGGGAGGGGAAGTCGAGGGTCAGGTGATTGATGAGGCAGAGGTAGTGTCATGGGCGCCTCCTTGCCCTCAGCTTCGTCGCCCACCTCGACACTGTCAAACAATGGTAAGATGGAAAGACCACGTGAGAGCAACGGAAGAGGATGAGGTTGAGGAATGATAGGATGAAGGAGACCACATGAGAGCGGTAAAAAAGGGTGATGATGAAGGTAAGGAATAATGGTGCAATGATAAGGGCAAACGAGGGGTTTGTAAGAGGGCTAATTACATAGTACCCCTTTTAGTTAGACCTCTTTAGCATCCCAATCCTTAGATTTCAAAAATTTACATTGAGATATCTATAGTTATGAAAGTGAAACATCTAATTCCATTTACCCTAACGACATCGATTTTACATATAAAAGCATGAAAATGATGGGTAAAAATATAATTTCAACGTCTTAGCTACATCTTTGATGATGACAAATGATGACACCGTTAGGAGTTACAGGTGACTATTGTGGATAAAAAAGAAGAGCGATAACGAGAGGTGAGATAAAAGAAGAGAAAAAAGAGGATGTCGTAGATGTGGACGCTCTATGTCGGAGCTGCTCTTACGCTGCTCGACAACTACGTCGCCGAGCTTTAAGCCCTTTGCACGCCAAATACTGAGCTATATGAGATGTACTCAAAAGGCCTCGTAGCCCAGTATGACCAACATTAGTGTAAAATCTGATTGCTTTGAAGCTACGTTGATTTGTCCTCAATCTAATCTGCCTCCATGATATTTGAGAAATATCTATAATGATATACTTCATATGACTGTAAGATTAAATGTTTTGGCTTTCAACATGCAGACAGGGAGAGTCATATGGCAGCCCACAACCAACCTCGCCATTCAGGCAGGGTATTTTTTTGTTCTCCTCCAGCCTTTGGAGGAGCATTCTGTATTTTTGGGAATAAATTCTGTTCCAATTACTTAATTTTCTCGTTTCAAAACCAAAAAAAAAAACAATTTTGGAAACTGTGTGATTTTTAAAAGTCCAAAAACTCCATGCTACGAGGAGGCAACTATCAGAACAAACATGTAATTAGCCCGCCCTCCTACTACTGAGGAGAGGAGAGAAGAGAAGAAATAGTGAAACATCCTGCTGCTAACCACAGACTCCAAACATCTCCTGCGAGGAACAGCAGTCAGCCTTTTTAATCAACCTCATATTGAATTTTAGAGGGCTAAATTCCATAAAAATAAATGAGAACCCTATAAAAACACCACATAAGCAAAACTTCTAATCGACCTACTTAAAAATGTGACAAGAAGTTTCCACATAATAATGCCCAAGAATCGACCAAGTCGCTGAGGTTTTGGGTCAATTAGAGTTATAGAGAGCTTCAACTGGCTGTAAGAAGCACATATATACATCGAGAAATCAGCGACAATGCCATACAGAACAACATGAATTAGACTGACTAAAAGGCCAATCTGTCAATAAATAGGACCTTGATCGACTTCATTGCTGGTACTCCAAGTTGAATGCAATAGCCTCCCTGTAAATTAGCTCCTTCATCTGTTCTTCAGAGAGTGCATGCTGCTCGAAGTCGAAACTGAAAGGTGTCATGCAGACTGGTTCATCACTAATGTCGTGTAAAGATGCCAGGTAGGGATGTGCAAGTGCATCTTCAACTGCCAACAAATGGAAAAGTAAATGAACCATTCAAACAAGGCACCATGACACGATAAGGAAATAAGGGCATGAGATATTTTTCACAGACTAATCCTTTGCTGAGCAAGCAGACAAAGGAAATATTAAGCAGGTAATGAAATGTGATGTACATAAGAAGAATATATTTAAAATTATGTACTAATTAAGCGTAGGTCTCTGATTGATTTCCAAGTATCATCCCTTGAAGGTTATAATTTATTAGCTAATTCAGAATTGTAGAAAGTGTGTGATTCTCTTGTATCTTTAATTAAAAAGATAATCTGCTTGCAAAACGGTATAGAAATGTTATCGTCAAGAGATAAACTTGCTAACCTGCCAATCGACAAAATATTAAGTTGTGACAGTACAAGTCAACATATTTTAATTTTTGATGTTTTAATAATGTGCAACCATGCATGAAACAATTTGAGAGAGCTCATTACATCAGTCATGGTTTTATAATTTAAAGGGGCAACAACCACAATTCTATAATCACACACAATGCATAACACAAAGTGCATCATAAAGCAGAACTTGTAAAATAATATATGACTGTGTTGATTATCTTAGCAATTTTCTCAAATTAATTAAAACCGGCAAAAGCTGAAAAATAAGAACTCACCAGTTATTCTCTGTCTAGGATCAAATGTTAGCATTCTTTCAACAAGATCAATAGCTGCAGGGTGAACATGAGAAAACTTTTCGGGAAAGGACTGACGTGGATGACGAGGAAGCTGGCGAATGTATCTTCTTGCATTTTCATTCACAAAATCCAAATCAACCTCATTTGGAGTGCCAATAAGCTGCATGATACAAGGTAGTTTACCAAAATAAAAATTAGATGCACATGTACACTAGAGGACATCAAATACATTAAATATAAAGCAATATAATATGTCAACTTCTAAGGCAATACATGTTAGAGTGAAGATAAATGCAAGACATTTATCATTCATTCAATAGCTTGTGTTGGATGTTCATTAAGATCCAAAACCAATTGAAAAGGAACGAAATCTTGGTTTAAAGAGCACTGATACGAATCCAAATACTAGTCATTTCATGTCAAATTAGCAAGAAATAGTTATAAATGTCACATAAGGCAAGGTTTGAATGAGAAGATCATACCTCCATCAATAGCCGTAGCTGGTGCACATGATCCCTTCCAGGAAATAGAGGCTTCCGGTCCATCAGTTCCATAAAGATGCAGCCTACTGACCACACATCAATTGCTGCAGTGTACTCTGAAGAATTTAGCAACAATTCTGGAGCTCGGTACCATCTTGTAACAACATATTCTGTCATGAAATCAGTTTCGGAGGTAGTACGAGCAAGTCCAAAGTCACAAATTTTCAGATCACAGTTGGCATTTAAGAGGAGATTGCTTGGTTTTAGGTCTCTGTGAAGAACATTTGCTGAATGTATGTATTTTAGACCCCGAAGAATCTGATAAAGGAAATACTGTATGGGAACGAAACAAAAGAGACAACTGGAACGAGTCAGACGATGAACTATGAGAAAATCCCAGAATATTTAAATCAAAGAAGAAATAAATTTCCACATGATTGATTAACAAGTTTGACCAAACCATGAGGCAAGAAAATAAGATTCCTATTGGAACTGTGATCTGTTCAGCTTATGACTTATTGATGGCCTTTGCAAGGCTGTAATGAGCCAAGCCAAGCTAACAAACTGCTTTCCCAGGTTTAGCTTCCTACAAGGATTATATGGGTATTATCAGGTTTGAGCTTGAGCTTGGCTTTTCATAAGCTTGGCTGGTAACCATTACAGAAAAATTATTAAAGCTTTCATTAAGTAAAACCAGTGAGCTTTCTGAACCTTTTTCTTGTGACAAAGTCTCACTGATGCTCGAGCAATTTGTTTAGATAAGATAAAATAAAGAAAGTTTTCTAGGTCAGTAATCAAACAAATTATAATCAAAACCAAATAAATTTAGCCATCTTTTGTTACTAACTGAAGTAATACACAGAAGTACTAAAGTTAATGAACAGGGAAACAATATGTAAATCCATTCGAAACAGAATATCCCTTGACAAGGCCTAATGTAAGATGACTATCTGATGCTATCTCAAACTCATGATAGGTGCAGTGACAAATCAAATATGACTATCTAACAATAAAATAAGTATAATAGATCTGTATAATGTGAAGAACTAAAAGATACAACCTGACAATGCTCCTCAGAAAGACCTTGGTTTGAACGGATAATTTGATGAAGATCAGTGTCCATCAACTCATAAGCAATGTAGACATCATTGAATGTCTCTCGTACAGGTGGTGGTATTATATCTCTGATTGCAACTATCTGTATGCATATGCAAAAATTATGAGTCAGAAAAAATGATCAACTTCGAGTTTTTTCTTTTTCCCAACAAACTCAGTGTGGCCTTTTTTGCATTTTGATGCTCCACTTCATAAACAGAAATTTAAGGTTCTAAACAAAACTAGCCATTTTTTACTTTCTGATGAGTTTCAGTAAAGGAGGATCCTGCACCCTTAGACAACAAAATGAGGTCCCAAGAACAACAATCTCTGCCTCAAAGAAAACATGAATAACTTTGAGAATACAACATCAATTGAAGAGATACTTAATTTAGTTGGCTGTATAGCATGAGCTCAGCATTTTACATTGGTGCAAGCTATACTCCAAAGCTGAATCACTAATATACAGTAACAAGTGTACCATTGGGCATGTGGCATGGTGTTTAGCAAAAGGTTATATGGAGGTCTGCTCACCATGGGATCTATAGAGGATCCTATGTACATTAGCCCTACCCCATGCCAAAGAGGTCAGACTGTCAGTACCATGACAAATTCCTACCATCCAAGTTGCAATGATTTTGCTGTTGATTTGAACCCATGACAAATTCCTACCATCCAAGTTGCAATGATTTTGCTGTTGATTTGAACCCATGATGCCCGGTGATTAGTACAATAGAAAGTTAAGTAAAGATACAGTTCAAACCCAAGTGATTACACTGTCATATGAGCAAAAGGAGAGATTGGTTGGACAAAATCATTGACCTGTAAAGAAGGAAATGTCTTGTGTATCTTCTTTGTTATATGTACAGTTTGTTTCTGGAGCAACAGAAAATTTTTTGGCCACGAAATTGCTTTGCACTAGCATCCAATACAAATGAACTCCGATGTCTGAATCAATGAAGCTAGAAACTTTTACTTGGATGGATAACAAGTGATACCGGTACTCTGATGTCTCAATTTTGATGTGTACTAGAAACTTTTACTTGAACGGATAACAATCAATGAAGCTAGAAACTTTTACACAATTTCAATGTGTACTGCCCAATACAGGCGGTACGTACCGGTCCTAGAGGATACCGGTATGCATACCTCTCTCTACAAGGTGGTACCAATTTTTTTTAACCGATACCGAGGCGTACTAACTTATATCGCCTCGGATTTCGACCATTACCAAGGCGTACTAATCGGTACGCCCTGGCGTGGTAGGTAAAGATATTTTTAAGGTTTTAGGGTGTATCGTCGGTATGTCCTAGCGTACATACCGGCACATACCGTACTGAGTAGAGCTCGGTACACCGGTACGGACCGATATTCAAAACTCTTATATCAGTTTTATTTTCGTGGGACACTACCACTATTGAATTGATTGATGCCTATTGCAATACTCCAAAAGATCATCATGCTAATACATAAATACTTCAAATTATTAGAAAAAGTGGCTCAACGTATGGAAAACCCTGTGAGATCTGGGGAAAGTCAATATATGCAATCTTACCCTTTTAAGTGAAAATATTATTTTCGTGACCCAAACTCTGATAACAGTCACAAGTGAGTAACCTTATCGTTCTATCAAATAATCAAATAATGTCTTCTTGATTAAATGTTTAGAGAAATGGATATCTTTGTTTATCTTGTTTTAACAATCATATTATTGTTGTATCTAAATCAAGTAAATAATCTTGGTATAATTAAAAATACACATTTGTGTGCATATGTACCAGTAGCTTCTCCCTCTTAACCTGTAGTTGCAGGTGGCTTTCTCCCTTAGGTCTCATGGTCAGCCCCCATGTCAACTACTAATTATTTTTATTCTCCACAGCAACGATTAACAGTCACAAGTGAGTAACCTTATCGTTCTATCAAATAATCAAATAATGTCTTCTTGATTAAATGTTTAGAGAAATGGATATCTTTGTTTATCTTGTTTTAACAATCATATTATTGTTGTATCTAAATCAAGTAAATAATCTTGGTATAATTAAAAATACACATTTGTGTGCATGTGTACCAGTAGCTTCTCCCTCTTAACTTGTAGTTGCAGGTGGCTTTCTCCCTTAGCTCTCATGGTCAGCCCCCATGTCAACTACTAATTATTTTTATTCTCCACAGCAACGATTTCAATAGGCGCTTGGGCGTTCGCCTAGGTGATCTGGCAAGGCGAGACGAGGCTCGAGCGTCTCGTTTCATGTCCAGGCGCCTCGCTTCAAAGAGGCGCCGCCTAGGCGCTTGCCCGAGCCCAGGCGTCGGGCGCTTCGGGCGAGCGCCCGGGTTAAACCAGGTGACCGAACCGGTGTTTTACGTTTGGTTCGGTCTCCGGTGCTACAGTTGGTTCGATTGAACCAACTAAAGCACCAATATCAGCCTCCCAACATCCCTCTCGCGACTTCTCCAACCCTAACCTTGCTCGCGATTCTGCCACTGACATTTCCTCTCTACTGCCACTGTTTCTCTTTGCTATCGTTGCCCGTCTTCGTTGTCGCTGCTCTCCGCTACCGCTGTCACTGCTTGCCATTGCTGTCGCTGTTGCCGTTGTCACTATCGTCGCTCCCGCTCCTGCTACCACTACTGCTTTTCTCAATCAGCAGCCTCAGTCTTACTCTTACACCGCTGCTCACTGCTACTACTATCGCTGCCGCTGCCACTACCGCTGCTATCGTTGCTTGCCATTATCGTCGCTCCCACTCCCGCTACCATTGCCGCTACTATTACTCTTACTCTCTCTACTCACATCGACTCGATAGTATACTGTTAACAGTATATTAATAGTAAACTGTTAACTGTATACCAGTAACAATATTTTTTATTTATTAGATTAATAATATATTATTTTGATTTTAATACTGCTAATTTTTATTTATTTAAAAATTTTGTTATTGTTTTGAATTTTGAGATTTTTTGTTAATGTGATATTGTGATTCTATAAGATTTTTTTAATTTAATATCATATTTTTATTTAAATAATTATATTTATTAATTAATTTATGTATTTTTTATATTTTAGTGCCTCGTTTCACTTGGGCGAGCGCCTAACGCCTAAGGCGTTTTTGCATCTTGGCGCCTAGCGCTTTTTAGATCACTGCTCCATAGTATTGGCTTTTTGTCTTTCTGTCTCCATATGTACTAGGTGTCACTATCACTACCAACATTTATCCATAGTCATAACTTGCATCCTTGTAGCACACCTATTTATGTTCCTTTATTCCCTCTATTGTCTCTATTGCATGTGTTCTGACCATCAACATTATCCCATACACCATATAGCACAAGCCACAACAATGGCTAATGGTAATAGAAAGTGGTGTAAAGACAGAGAACAATGAGAAGAATTATGTGGCATGCATGTACATTGGATTGGTGAAACTAGGGAAACGGGTAAATTAAAGAAATAATTTGTGAAAATCCTCATAGCCTCTATATCTCAATCTATCTTCCTTGATGTTTCTAGTTTAGTTCAAACAAAAAATATATATATAAGAATGAAAAAAAAGAACCAAAAGATGTGAGATCAAATCATAGGATCTAGTGGTTGGTGGGTGGATTTTCTTTTCTTCCTATACCTATTTTTATCATAACAAGACCTTTCACTTGATTTAGATATATAATAACATGATTTCTAATACAAGATTAAAAAATCTCAATTGATTGAGAATATATAATTGATAGATTCATAAAAGACATCATCCTTATGTTCAATATAATCTTAAATAAATCTAAATATCTAAAGAGATCATGAGAGACCTAATGATTCCCTTAAAAAGGTGATGTTCTCCTGAGATCATGAGAGACCTAATGATTCCCTTAAAAAGGTGATGTTCTCCTGTGATTCCTTTTCTTTTGTTTTCCTCCTTTCTCCTTTTTGCGAAAGAAAGATATGAGGAAGAGCGTCATCCTTAAATCTTTAATTTCTCAAACAAATGCTTCTCAGAATTGATATTACCTAACCATCCATGACAGGGATTTAGCTTATTATTATTAAAAACATAGTTGCAGTGATATCATCCAAATAATAATACAAATTAGAACTGATCAGGATAGACACAGTATGGATGGATTCCTGCTGTTCAGATTAGATGATTGTGTGTGAATCTATCCCATCTTCTATGGTCAGCCATCAAAAGAGGCTTATTGAATGATTTCTTGTCAGCACGTTCTTGCTTTAATTGTAGTTATAGCTATCACACTGTAGTGAAATTGCATGCAAAGATTTCTCAAAATGAAGATTGAAGACAATAAATGGTCCAATCACCACAGCCTACCTTATTCAATATGCTGTTTAAACATTTTCAGCATTTAATTAATTTATTATCTTTCCACAAATAACACATTAGCACATCCCCTTGGAGATGCAAGCTCACCTCTAGTTCCTCTTCAGATCCTTCTGTCAAATCCTAGTTCAAGTGACAATAAAGCCTTATAGACCTTAAGTAACAACAATAGCTTAAAATATTTATGAAGTTTGGTCAGTGTCCTGAATCTCATACAACTTAGGACAAGTATCACCAGCAATTGTCTATGAATCTGGCGATTAACTGCTTATATTCATGTCTCCTTCAGGTAATCTCCATCTATAACTAAAATGGACAAAACCCTCCTAACAGGTGCATCAGGAGTCTATCAAACACTGTACATTTAGTTCAAACTAATATTCTTGGTCTTCACTATATACCTCCAACAACCAAGAATTACAAATCTTCTTCATTCTATATCTTCAGTGAAACAACTCATTCATCTCATTATATAGCATCTAAAAAATTCAAATGCTATAAACAAAATCAATCTTGTAGCTGTTAGGAGGGGCATTTCCATGATTGAAACAAAATGCAAACAAAACAAAACAAAACATCTAACTTTCAACGTTTTGCTCGATTACAGTTATATTGTCCTATCCCATCTTCTTGATCATAACTCCATCGAATATTAGAGAAAGAGTTTCTCTTGAAATCTCTGGACTATCAATTGTCAAGTGTAACATCGAGTCTACCATTAGTTTTCTGGCTGTAACAAAAATCAACAGTTAGCATTATGCTTAGTTGTAGACTAGTAGAGGGTGTTATAGGCCCCAATGTTTATGCTAGACTAGCGACGAGACCTCCATGTGGTTCTTTATTTTTTACCATCTCTATTATCTTAAGTAATTATCCATACAGCTGTCAAAGGCACTTCCCTCTAATTTAGAGCTTATTCTGTTCGTTCTTTTGAATCAATGAACAATATGTCCTTTCTCTATGCAAATAAAAGTAAGCTACCTATTTTAGAATCCTTGTGTCCTGATAAATCATCCGTTTGCTTTTGTAATTAACTACTTGTAACATTGCATCTCTTGCCCATTTACAGGAAGCACAAATTAAAAGTGCATATTTTATGAATTTTCTGTGCTTCTCACTCAACACCGACAGGTGAATCAAAATGATCACGCAGTAGCAAAAGCCACACCGGATATGGACGTCGAGTGACAAATTGATTATTTGGTACTTCATTAATTGATCTACATCATTGATCATTAAAAACCCTCCTAAACTACCAAGCAGAGAAAAGGAAAAGCAAAAGAAGAAACGACATAGAAAAAACAGAGCTGACAAACCCACTGACATTTTCGTGATCCATGTGCCTGAGAAGCTTTATCTCACGCAGCGTCCTCTTCGCGTCAATCTTATTATCAAATGCGTTGGCGATCTTCTTGATCGCCACTTGTTCACCGGTCTCCGAGTTTAAAGCCGAGCTGCAACCACAAATCCGACAACCAAGTGACAATTAACCACCATCAAAAGAAAAGAAAAAGGACTTTCCTCTAATCAAATGCGATCGAGACCACGAGTAGCCAAACAAGATCGGATATTTCCCCACCAGGGAGCAAACCAAGAGAGAGAGAGAGAGAGAGAGAGAGAGAGAGAGAGAGAGAAGGGGTGGGCGGAGGAGGAGGATTACCAGACGATCCCGTAGGCGCCCTTCCCGATGGGCATGATGGGGGGCTTGTACTTGGAGGTGACCTCGAAGATGTTCCCGAAAATGTTGTATTGGATGAACCGGCCACCGTGGCTGAGCGTCGCCTGGATGCTCTCCTGCCCCTGCGACGGGACCGGCTGAGGAGGCTGCCCTCCGGCATCAGCCATCTCTGCATCCGTCGGCTGAGCTCCTCCTTCCATCTCCTCCCCCTTCCGTCTCGCTCCTCTCCAAACCCTAACGGTCGATCCAATCCCCTCTTTGCCCGACGTCGCTTTTAGCTCTAGAAAAGGCCACAATTTGCCCTCCTCTTCGATTTCCTCGCCATTGCAACGCAAGTTTACGCGTCAATTCGTTACGGAGGAGTCTCGTTGACGGACAGATGATTATTGATTTTCCATATCTATCCTCTCATTGTCTCGAAATAACATATTTGCCCCTGTAGATTTTAATATAGTATATATCTATCATCAATTTTAAGTATATATCTATCATCAATTTTAATACCTTTGCACCTTCAAATTTTGAATTCTATATGCTTAGACATGTACATATATGCATTCAGATATTTAATTTCTTCATGTATGACACTTCTGCTATTGTCCATTTGATAGATTCAAATTGTGATAATTAACTAGATAAAATTAATCCATTAAAATATTCAAAATATACTTAATATTTTTTGGAATTGAAATTTAGAGTAGTGGGTATAGAAAAAATCATTTTTGTAATTTTCAAGTGATTATGTTACCTACAATAATATATCTATAAAATTTTCAAATTTATAAGGATATAATTTGCTTTAGAAGGGCATATATATGCAGTTTTGAAGAATATAAAATTGCTAGTCAACATTAGCCAAACAATGAAATTGCTTTTAGTTTTGAAGAATAAAAACATTTTTTTGTGCCTATTCTTTTTACAATCCAAATAAATATTGGTATTGTTAGAGGTTAGGTATTATCATTGTAATAATAATAAAATTTTAAAACATTAGCTAGCTTAGCTAGTAAAAATTTTGATAGATTATTATAATATCGTTAAATTAAATTCATCTTTGTCACTTATCACTTATAAAAAAAATAATAATTTAAAAAAAAATTATCATAAGATTCTAATATCGAATCTTTCTTTGCCACTTTATCTTTTAAAAAATAAATAATTTCTTAATTTTTTTAACAAATTCAATCAATAATTTATTAAAGACTTTACCATCTAAACTACTTGTAACATTATAAAACATGTTAGGTAAAAGTTTAAATCTCAATCTTTGATAAGTAAGTTGGATACATCACTATTATATTAATATTTTATTGTAGAAAATAATATTGGATGAAACTTTAAATCGTCAATCTTTGATAAGTGAACTGAAAATTGATTGAATTTTATTTTTTAAAAAACATATTTTAATATATCCACAAAAAATAATTATTTATTTTACAAGTCAACTTTGGCTCTCAATCTCAACATGTGATGGGTCATTTTCTTATTCTAGCTTGGATCAATTTTGGTTCAACAAATTTTAGACCTGTTCAAATAAATTTGAACCAATAAATGCTTTTATTAGACAACTAAAAGAATATTAGAAATGTAAAATTGAGAAATTAATTTTAAATTTTACATGAAAATTATTAGAAATTTAATAAATAACTTAGAATAACATATTAACATAAAATTATACATATATATATATATATATATATATATATATAACAATATTTCTGGTACAAATATAAAGTTCAAATGTATAATTTTAACATATAATATTGTTAAATCAAGTTTTAAGTATTCATGTTGATTTGGGTCCTACTCAGATCTTCTTTCATGTTTGTCTTAAAATAAAAGAATATCGAATAATCGATGGAGAATTTTTTTATGTAGATAATAACCTTAAGTTATTTATTTTATTTTTTTAGGAATAGGAATACTATGTGGAAAAAAATAAAAATGAGATATTGTTTTAGCAAAACCCAAAAAAAGACACCTTTGCACAAATTTGCCCTTGTAATTTTAATTCAAAAGTTAATAGAAATTTGAATGTGTAATAATAATAGTAATAATAATTATTATAATTATAATTATTATTATTATTATTATTATTTTTGGATGTGCATATATGTAACCTGAACTAAATATAGAGGAATGACGTAGGAGCGACACACATGTAATTTTGCACGTGTGTATAATAATAATTGCGACGATGGACGAGCATCACGGGCTGGACCGGTGTATAAGAAAAGATTTTGTACGGGTGTCAGTGACATCAAAGGGAATGACGCATCGTACGGAGAGGATTCGCAGGCGGGAGGAACGGACGGTGCGTGATGCCTGGGGTACGGGTTTGACCGACAAGGTTGCGGGCACGTGTGGGTATCGGAAGCGAGTTGCGAGTATTTTGATGACCGAGGCGGTTGGTGGTTTCTATGATCAAATATAAAAGAAAATCCATCAGCCGTCCGATCAGAATCGGTGTTGACTTTATCCTGACATCCCAGCCGTCCATTTATATGACCTCCATGTCTTGGTTCCATGTCAAGCCAGAACTCAAGAAGAAGAAGAAGAAGAAGAAGAAGAAGCAGAATGCACTCACCTTGTCCATATCTCAAGGATGAATGAGGTCCTTTATTTCACATGAACTAGTAACATATAACTGACACATCATGCACACTCCTCTGCTGAAGAATCATAACTCTCAGACTCACTACTCTCCTCAATGTATCAATCTACCTGTCATCTACAAATCAACCCTTCTACAGTCAAGAGGGAAGAGCACGCACTCAGCGCGCGAGCAGAGCAACGAAGGACATGATGGAAGCCAAAGCAACCGCGCAGGCGCCGGGAGAACCCCCCACAGCTCCATTGTCCATGGCCGGCGCAGGGCCGGGGGCCGGGCTATGCTCCTGCGCGCTGACCTCGGCGAGGACCAGCACGAGCAGCAACAGCAGCAGCGAGACCTTCGAAGTGAAGCTGGACGCTGCCATTGCGAACGAGGGAGGTGAGGTAGCTTGAGCGTGTGATCGGTTGGGGCGATACAACAAGCAGTTGGGGGGCGTATTTATAGGGTGGAGAGGGACGGAGACAGCAGAGCAAGCTTGCAGCTGTTCGCGGACGGGTGTCGGCAGCGGAAGCGAGGTCGACGAAGCCGACGTCGAGCGGTGGGCGATGGATTCCTTGAGAAGGAAGGATTCATGGACGTCACATGGCCGGCATCGAGAGCGGAAGGCAACAACAAGATGAACACGTCGACGGAGGTGTCCTTCATTGACGTGCACGCAAGTAGCTTGGGAAAATGGCTGACCGGCTTTTAAGAGCACAGCTGTCTTCGTTGACTGACTCCAAATCTACAACAAAGTCGACTCATAGGATAACGTGTAACTATCGTGACCGTCAGTGTTGCATCAAATGTCACGTGCACATGATCAGGTAATAATCATTAGTAAACAAGTTCATAAAGATGGCAGAATAATTCCTATCAATAACCAAACTAACAGTACATGATGCTTTCAGTTCTTTAAATCAGTGAATAATTGAGGGAATATAAATTTTTATCTTTTTTTTCAGAATCTAACTATTGGTTGTTTACAAATCTTATCTCCTTAAATCAGACTAATGATTGATTGAGAAAATCATTACTAAATTATGTACAAAATTAGTATGATTATATCTTATTTAATCATGAACATATGTTAGGCAACATATTATTTATATATTATATATTTACTATAAATAATATATATATATTTCATAGCCATTTTGAACTTGGTTGTGGGCTTGGAATTGGGTTGGATTGAGGTGGAGCCAAGTTAACTGAACTCTATAGATCACACTCTCTCCTCTTTTCTTCCCCAAGTCTTTCACTGATGAGATCTCACAGCACAGGTGCTCACAAGGGTTGACTACAGGGAGGTGACCTCAGCTGCTCACACCCTTGTAAGACTAAACATTTCTTTTGGAGGAGGAGGAGAAGAAGAACAGACAAGATGGCTTGCTAGATTTGCTTCTACATCTTCTGATCTGATATGGTTTGCTGTGTCTATATGCAGTGCAGGTGATTAGTAGTATGACAAATTCTTTATGTTCATCTATGTCTTTAGTAGTTTTACACATTTATATGATGAATATTTTGAGTCGAGTCATCCACACAGTTATGTCATTATGCATTGGAGGAATGAAATATTCTTCGAAACATTCATTATTCTCGGAATATGGTTCTAATCATTCTATAAATAGAGAAACCTTTTAGGTATTATTCAAGATTCAGATCTTCACCTTCAACTCTAACATCAAACCTCTAATTGATTTGAGCATCAAAAGTGATTGACATCCGATGCTAGTTTTCCAGTGATGAAGGAGCATTCAACCCCTCGGAGATTAGACTCTCGAGATGGATAACACCTAGTCATAGATAAAATCTTATACCATGTGTTTTGATATTTTCATGGAATGAAGGATTTCATTATCATCCTTGTAATAATTTCATTATTTTTTTATTGTTTTTATAGTATCGAAGGATCATAAAATGGTGTCAATGTCTTCTTTCCTGACAATAGCAATCTTATGATTGAACCCAAGTTCATGTGTTTCCTAATTAGATTCATGATTTACTTGTGAAGAGAATCTAATTCATCCATGTAAGAAGCTCCAATTGACAGAGCCAAATACCATTTCCAAACCAATCTATTACTGTCAACAAATTCTCTAGGGTTTCAAGACTCAATCAACAGCTTCTCTTCCTGCTAAAAAGATCAAGAAGACTAAATCTGCATGTAAAAAAAATGAGAAATAACATGGCTTTCTTTTAACATCAAACCTCCATTAAGATGAACTTCAGAATCTGGGATACTTAATGAGATGAAAACTGGCCTCCAAACCATGATGTTATGATTAGCTCAGATGTGAATGGATGTATGCATCTTTGATTTAGGTTATGGAAAAGAATAGTAACTTTTGTCTCCAAATAATGTTTAGCAATGTTCAATTCTTGCCCACAGTACTGCATTAAATCTAATGTATCTTTTTCTGTAAAGCTATACCTATCTTTACACTAATATGTAGATTGATGTTGTTACACTTCATCTTTGCCTCATGTTCATATCAGACAATGTCTCTACCACCAAAACTCATCTTTTCTTTGTAGAACACAACTATATGCACATGCAGTGCCTTGTTTTGCATTAGAGCTTTAATAGAAGCCATGTAGTCTTCTATGGAAATCACAACTTTCATTTAGAAAACCTTAAGAGTGGGTACTCCTTCAATCTCATGCTAATCCCAGTATTACTTACTAAACTGGATATATCTGCATCAGATTGGAGGGGGTAGAACTTTGGGAGACTGAGGATTGAACTAAAAAGAGACAACCAAGCAGATGAAGATTACAAAACAAATACAAAACTAGGAAAGAAAGCAACATTTTCCTCTTATAAATGGTGTAAAAAAAAAGAAGAAGTAAACTTACACCTATAGCAATAGAAGTGAGTGCTAAATGGTTGATATGGTTAAATTTGTTCATAAATTTACTTGGAAAAATAGATTCTTGTTCTTCGAGTAGTATCGTGTTTGGAAGAGCTAAAGAAACTAATCAAAGAGGTGATTTCACTTGAGGGTAAAAAATGTTTGTATCTCATATATTATATCTCGCTTTAGTCCAAGGACAAAAATCACCTATATTTGTGTTTGATGGTACAAAATATCCATATCTCATATTCTATTTGGAGGACATAAAACACTCATATCACATATGTCGCTTTTTTCATTTTTTTTATTGTGAAAGAATAATACCCATAAGTAGCTTAGAAACTCTAGCATATTTACGTGAATTTCAAATATGCAAAATAAAAGCATATATGGAGATATTTTTTATATATTGGCGGTGTTTCGATCACTAATTTAATGAGAAAATATCGTAACGATCATATCGATTAATCATGTTATTGACAGATAACATAGCGATCTTAATCTCGATTAACAAGATAGAAGATATTGATCATGTTATTGACAAAGAACATAGCACTTTAAAGAATTTAAGGGTTGGAATTGACACAATTCATTGTTTGTTTGTATCATTTGTGGCTGTAGAAGTGTCACCACATCATGATCTTAAGATGCGTATACCATTTGCTTTCTATGCTGCCAACTAAAGGAATGGAGATACATGCGATTCTAAAAGGTGGGGATGTTGGAAATAAAGGCATAAGTGGCAAAGAAGGGAACATAAACAATCTGATTTGATGTCTCTCTTTGAACTGCCCCTCTGCTGTATTCTGATCACCAATCAATTTGAAGCTCCTCCTTTGCACATGAAGATAGCTGCATACTGTGAAGAAAAAAAATACTCAAGATGCTAAAATATTTGCATGATATTAACAACAAATCTTACAAAGTACTCAATCCATTCTTTGATTTGGACTCCTTCCAACTACTTGGGATAACACTAACTCAAGTCCTCATGCTATCAGATGCTTCATGAAAAGCCTTGTGAGGTCAAACAGGTTTGCATTCTACCTCTGTTTATAGAGCTAAAATGCCTAAGAGTTTCAGTACTTTGTAACACAGTTTTTACTCTTTGAGTTTATCTATAAATTAAATTCAAAGATTCTAATCTTAATCGAAAATTTTATAGCAATAGTTCTTTAAGAGTTTCAGTACTTTGTAACTATCATCGGATTTACACATAAGAAAGTGTTGAAATACGAGAAAGTATAATTTAATTATTTAATAATTATCTCATATATCTCTAGATTTTGAGAGACGGTAATAGTAGAGTACTCTTATGTTTCCTCCGATAAATTTAGAAAGAATGAGAGAAAAAATTAAAAATTATTTAAAAATTATATGAGAGGATATATAAAAGGATTTATACTTAGATTTAAATTAACCGAAGGAAATTTTTAGTTCCTTCAAAATTTTATTTGTGGATATAAATTAGGAGAATGAATTACGTAAATATTGAGTCGATCATTTCTTTTATTTATATTTTATGCTTTACTTTCTGGATTATTCTTTTGGTACGAAGATCTTTCCCGATATGATAAGTTTTCTACTGACGAAAGGAATTCGACAGCTCGTAAATGGTAGGGTTTGAGCCTTAAGGATCAGTGTTACCTCGGCCAATGAGGAATCGACAACCATGGAAACCACGAGGGTGATGGAGATGACCACTGGTTCGAATGACAAAGGCTGAAACCAAATGAAGGAGGTGTCATTGCCCCCCTCCTTTTTCATGCATCAACCAATGGGTCACAGGACAAGAAATGATGAGGACTTCTATGGTGAGTGCTGCAGACAAAGAGCTCATCAAGTCAAATACATGCTTCAACTTGTACACCTTAGAAGAAGAAACCCAATGGCATCAGAAACCACAGGATCATTTATCCTTCCAAGGACAAGCCATGTCATCTAT